CACTTAGCAAATGGGAAGTAATCAGTGTTGACCCATAGAAAGGGAGGTTAGGTGTAGTTCTTTGAATCAATTGTCCTTCCCTACAAAAGAATTCTTAAAACAGATTGAGTAGGATGCAGCTTTACCCTTGTTGCCTTGATGCTGGTAAGGGGCTCTTGATCCAAGGAACTGGACTTGTTCTCTCCTTTCTTGGATCAAACTTCAATGCCTCTTATACCCCAGGTGCTATATAACCACCCTATGGGTGTAGCATGCCCCCTGATTTACATTTCTGATGAAGAATCTAGATTACTGGGTATTCATTGGGAAGTGCTAAACCCCTAAAGATCATAGTGCCTAGGGAATGGGAAGAACTAAGGTTTAATCCTAGGAAGAGGAGGGTAGTGCCAATTCTTGTATACAGCAGTATTGAAGGGTGAAGGATCCCTATCAGTTTATAAAAACTTTTGCCATCATTTTTCCTCGTTGGTTGAGTGTGCCTTGTGCAATACTGTATTTGGAAAATTTATTTTTCAGGGAAAACCAGGATTATGCACTACTGTATATTATACAGAATATACATAATTTATATACTACTGTACCTGAATTTAAAAGTAGAGTCTATCCCAGCTTATTACTCAAAAATGCAAAAAAATTCATTTTAATTAATTTTAAAAAAAGAATGAAGTGTCTATCTTTTTCCATTAAAGTAAGTTTTAATACATTATTACATTTAGGGTAAGTGCTTAACCCACAGGGGTTATATAGCACAATATTTATGCAAAATGGATATCTTTTGTGTCATTCACATCTGAGAACCCTGGGCAAATGACCCTTTTTATATAACATTAATCTGCTGTGACATGTCTGCTGCTACCAAGGCGTTATTATTACAATACGTACAGTCGTACTGGCCAGGTTGTGGCAGCCACCACCAAAATTCTTGTACATAGAAAAGAGTAAGGTGATGAGGGTATCAAATGATTTAGATAAAGAAAAATTAGATATCAAATTGGAGAGGAGTATTGAAGAAGTGAATGTTTTCAGATATTTGGGAGTTGACGTGTCAGCAGATGGATTTATGAAGGATGAGGTTAACTGTAGAATTGATGAAGGAAAAAGGTGAGTGGAGACAAAAAAACATTATCTATGGAGGCAAAGAAGTGAATGTATGAAAGTATAGTGGTACCAACACTCTGATATGGGTGTGAAGCTTGGGTTGTAAATGCTGCATCGATGAGGCGTTTGGAGGCAGTAGAGATGTCCTGTCTAAGGGCAATGTGTGGTGTAAATATTATGCAGAGAATTTGGAGTGTTGAAATTAGGAGGTTTGGAGTTAATAAAAGTATTAGTCAGAGGGCTGAAGAGGGTTTGTTGAGGTGGTTTGGTCATTTAGAGAGAATGGATCAAAGTAGAATGACATGGAAAGCGTATAAATCTGTAGGGGAAGGAAGGAGGGGTAGGGGTCGTCCTTGGAAAGGTTGGAGGGAGGGGGTAAAGGAGGTTTTGTGGGCGAGGGGCTTGGACTTCCAGCAAGCATGCGTGAGCGTGTTAGATAGGAGTAATAGAGACGAATGGTATTTGGGACCTGACAAACTGTTGGAGTGTGAGCAGGGTAATATTTAGTGAAGGGATTCAGGGAAGCCAGTTATTTTTACATAGCCGTACTTGAGTAGTGGAAATGGGAAATACAATGCCTGCACTTTAAAGGAGGGGTTGGGATATTGGCAGTTTGGACGGATATGTTGTATATCTTTATACATATATGCTTCTAAACTGTTGTGTCCTGGGCACTTCTGCAAAAACAGTGATTATGTATGAGTGAGGTGAGTGTTGGATGATGAAAGTATTTTCTTTTTTAGGATTTTCTTTCTTTATGGGTCACCTTGCCTCAGTGGGAGACGGCTGACTTGTTGAAAGAAACAAATAAAACAAAAATACAATATTATTATTACATTCATGGGGAAAGCACTAAACCTTAAGGGGTCATAAAACACCAGGGAGAGTGAGAGGCAATTAGGTTTGATTCAAGGTAGGGGTGGGTCGGTCTAATTCCCTAGATCAAGAGCCCCTCACCAGCATCAAGGAACCTCCCTTGACAGGCTACCAACATATGTTGGCCACAATATGCAGTCTGAATTAAATAACGTATGAGGTCAGTGTTTGCCCGTTATTGTTCACAATTTACATAAACGACATAGATGAGGGAATAAATAGTGACATAAGCAAATTTGCTGATGACACCAAAATAGGCCATCCAATTCATTCTAATGAGGACATTAGAGCACTCCAGGATGATTTGAATAGACTGATGCAATGGTCAGAGAAGTGGCAGCTGCAGTTTAATATAGACAAATGCAAAGTTCTAAATGTTGGACAGCAAAATAACCATGCCACATATAAACTAAATAATGTAAATCTTAATACTACTGATTGCAAAAAGGATTTAGGAGTTCTGGTTAGCAGTAATCTATAACCAAGACAACAGCGCATTAGTGTTCGCAATAAAGCTAACAGAATCCTTGGCTTCATATCTAGAAGTATAAATAATATAAATCCTCAGGTTGTTCTTCAACTCTATATATGCTTGGTTAGGCCTCGTTTAGATTATGCTGCACAGTTCTGGTCACCGTATTACAGAATGGATATAAATGCACTGGAAAGCGTACAGAGGAGGATGACAAAGTTGATCCCATGTATCAGAAATCTTCCCTATGAGGATAGACTGAGGGCCCTGAATGTGTACTCTCTCAAAAGGCATAGAATTAGGGGGGATATGATTGAGGTGTATAAATGGAAGACAGGAATAAATAAAGGGGGATGTAAATAGCATGCTGAAAATTTTCAGCCAAGACAGGACTCACAGCAATGGTTTCAAGTTGGAGAAATTAAGACTCAGGAAGGATATAGGAGAGCACTGATTTGGTAATAGAGTTGTGGATGAGTGGAACAAACTCCTGAGTACAGTTATAGAGGCTAAAACATTGTGTAGTTTTAAAAATAGGTTAGATAAATACATGAGTGGGTGTGGGTGGATGTGAGTTGGACCTGACTAGCTTGTGCTACTAGGTTCGATGCCGTGCTCCTTCCTTAAATAGAAGTGACCTAACTAGGTGGGTCATTGGGCTAATCTGGGGGGGAAGGGAATGGACCTACTTTGCATGGGTCAGTAGGCCTGTTGCAGTGTTCCTTCTTTCCTATATTCTTATGTCTTGTTTTGAATTTTATTATTGTTAGTCTTTCCCTGAAAGCTCAAAACCCACAGGTGTCACTGAGCCTTGAATGACAGAGGTGAAAGTGATGATAAAGGAAATAGATGGAAGTGTTGAGTGAAGGCCATGGGCTGAAAGGATGTAGGTCACTGTTGATATAACAAATTAGTGTTAATTATGAAATCCTGTTAAGTATGCACTGTTTGACGTCAGTGAAAACAGCACACAAGTAAACCCATCATGGCATTCAGGTATTATTATATTTAAGGGGAAGCTCTAAGTCTGTAGGAGTCATATAGCACTTGGATACTAGGAGGCAATCAAGGATGATTCAAGGAAAGGGAGGTCAAGTACAATTCTTTGAATTGGGAGCCCATCACCAGCATCAAGAAACCTTCCTTGAAGGGTAATGGCATCAAGGAAAGCAGAGAAAATGAAGCTGGATTTTCTAAATATATTTTTTAACACATCAGTTGTTACCAACTAAGGTAGGGTAATAACCCCCCCCCCCCAAAAAAAAAAAAAAAAAAAATCATTCACTGTCATTCATACAATCACTGTTTTGCCAGAAGAATGGTGACATCATGGTTCAAATGATGATCCATACTGCAACCACTTACTCATTCCCCAGAGAACAGGCATTGTACTTTTCACCTCCAGTACTCGAATCCAGCTACCCGGACTAAATAATAAAAAAAAAAAAATAACACTGGCCATCTCCCACCGAGGTAGGGTGACCTGACAAAGAAAACTCATTCACTGTCACTCGTTCAATCACTGTCTTGCCAGAAGGGCACCAACATCATAGTTCACATGAGACCCTCCAAACACAACATCCACACCCCCTATTAATAATATTAATTCAGAGGGAGAAGAAGGGGTTGCTGGCATGGTTGGGCATGTACAAAGGATGGAGAAAGATAGGAATGGAAGGCAGGAAGGGTAAGTTTCATCCTAGGAATATTATTATAATCATAACCAAGTGCCAAACCCATAAGGGTCTTCATCCTAGGAACAGTTGGATGGAGGAGGTAAAAAAGGGGGTTTGAGTATCAAGGAAGCACGTGTGAATGAGTTAGATACAAATGAATGTAAACAAGTGGTTATTCATGGACATGCCTTTAGAGTGTGAGCAAAGTGACTTTTATAAAGGGACTCAGGAAAACTGATTAGCCAGGCTTAAGTCTTGTAGGTGGGAAGTATAGTGCCTGTACCCTGAAGGAGGGGTGTGGTTCTGGCAGTCAGAGGATTATCTGACTTGTGATATCATACTTCAGGCAAGACAGCAATTAAATGAATGATGGTAAATGTGCTTTCTTCTGTAGATCATCTTGCCTTGGCAGGAGATAACTGTTGAGGTAAACAAAAATAAAAGTTTAAAACTGCTTTATTCCAAACAATGGAGATGACAAGGAACTACACCTACCATCCGACTGACGACCGAACATGGTTCCGACTAACCAGTCGTGAGTCAAAATGGACGTAAGTCGAACCTTACTACTGAATATCAGCATCACTTTATTGTAATGATTTTATTTTGGTATTTCATTTTTTACCTTACTTTTTATGGTATTAGTACTGTACAGTGGACCCCCGCATAACGATCACCTCCGAATGCGACCAATTATGTAAGTGTGTTTGTACGTGTATGTTTAGGGGTCTGAAATGGACTAATCTACTTCACAACATTCCTTATGGGAACAAATTCGGTCAGTACTGGCACCTGAACATACTTCTTGAGTGAAAAAATATCGTTAACCGGGGGTCCACTGTATTTTATACTGTAAGGTTTAGGAGAAACACTGTGTATAATACAAACAGTTGTTTATTTCCCAGAACACTTGCATACAAAACATAGTCGTAAGCTGAGTGGTCGTATGTCGAGCAGGTTGTAAACTGGATGGTAGGTGTATAAAGAGGGGACTGCCCAGAAAAGGACCTATTCACAGATGTTTGCTCTGGGCATCAGGTTAACACAGTTCAGGTCATGGACAAGATATTTTATAAAGCAGGAGGCATTTGTTGTGGTGTGCTTTTTTCAGGCAAGATGAGCAATGAGTCTTTTTAGTGTAAAGAGAGCTCCAGCTTCTGCCGCAAATTGTGAAGATATGGCAGTACACATGATGGTTCTTCTGGCTTGTTGAGGTGTGTTGAACTGCAGCATCCATGGTGGTACGTGTCAGCTGTTTTGTGTGCCGCAGCTGCAGTACAGTATGTACAGATACTTTCCAAATTTCAATCCACTGTGTAATACGAGAACTGTATTTTCTTAATTTTATTGCAATTACTGTACAAAATTAACGTTCAACTATGGTTGCACTTATTTTAAGTTATTTTATACACACAAAATCTTTCTGACTTTGGAAAATTAAATTATATACAGTACCTTAAAGTCATTTTGACCATTATTCAAAAATAAAAGATTATCTTTTCAAAATATTAATGAATGTCTCTCTAGGTACTTCGATATTTCCATACATCTTCATCCTCTTCTTTCCCTCAGCCTGACGTTTCAACAGCTTCATTTTTCTTGAAATATCACCTCCATACTGAAATTAAGAAAATATACAATGATTTCAAAATGAAATTGAGAAATACTGTATAAAATTTTGTCTCATCACACTTTGTATCTTCAAACACAGGTAAATCAAATCATGCCAATTAAAGAATGCAACTGATATATTTTTAATAAATATTACTGTACCATCAACCGCCCAGGGAGGTACTACCGTCCTGCCAAGTGAGTGTAAAACTAAAGCCTGTAATTGTTTTATATGATGGTAGGATTGCTGGTGTCCTTTTTTCTGTCTCATGAACATGCAAGATTTCAGGTACGTCTTGCTACTTCTACTTACACTTAGGTCACACTACACATACATGTACAAGCATATATATACACACCCCTCTGGGTTTTCTTCTATTTTCTTTCTAGTTCTTATTCTTGTTTATTTCCTCTTATCTCCATGGGGAAGTGGAACAGAATTCTTCCTCCGTAAGCCATGCATGTTGTAAGAGGCGACTAAAATGCCGGGAGCAAGGGGCTAGTAACCTCTTCTCCTATATATATTACTAAATGTAAAAGGAGAAACTTTCGTTTTTCCTTTTGGGCCACCCCGCCTCGGTGGGATACAGCCTGTGTGTTGAAAGAATTACTGTACCATATGTGTCATAAGAGGCGACTAAAATCCTGGGAGCAAGGGACTAATAACCCCTTCTGTATAAATTATACTAAATTTAAAAAGAGAAACTTTTGTTTTTCTTTTTGGGCCACCCTGCCTCGGTGGGATATGGCCAGTTTGTTGAAAGAAAGAATGAAGAAATATTAGTATATTGTAAAAATGATATATGGAAGGCAGAGTATACAGAGAGAAAAACAGGTTAAACAAGAGCTGAAGGAATGTAAAAGATGAGCCAATGAGAGACTGAGCGAGTATTTTTAACAAATTTGATGAGAACAAGAAACCGTTTTGGAGAGATTAATGAACTGAGAAACTCAGAGAGCAAATGAACTTTATAATTAAAAGTAAAAGAGGAGGGATGTTAAAAAGGGAGGTGGAGGATATATATAGGAGGGTCATATGAAATATGATGCCTATGCATTTAAACTCCCACTCAAACCCAGCTATACTTAGAAACACTGTAAACAACAAGCTGCTAAAATATATACAGTTTTACCTTGGGATACGAACTTAATTCATTCCAGAAGGCTGTTTGAGTGCTGATACCAAAAGAATTTGTTCCCATAAGGAATAATGTAAATTAGATTAATCCGTTTCAGACCCCCAAAAATACACTTACAAAAGCACTTACATAACTGTTCGAGTTGGGAGCTGCTCGTATCCCGGGGTACCACTGTACTTGGATGATGACCAACAAACTCAGTCTCAACACAGACAAAACATACTTCATGCTGTTTGGAAACAGAGCCTTAAATATCCAACTTAATATATAGATAAATGGTTCCCCTATTACAAGACACACTGAGGGTAAATTTCTAGGTCTTCTCCTTGACTGTAATCTTAAATTTCATTCCCGCATCCAGTATGTATCCAAGAAAATTTCTAAATCAGTGAGCATCTTCTCCAAGATATGATACTATGTACCCCGAAAGACACTCCTTACCCTATACCACTCTTTGCTTTATCTCTACCTCATCTATGATATTTGTGCCTGGGGATCAACTACAGCCAGCCACCTTAAACCTTTAATAACCCAACAAAAAGCTGCTGTGTGGATGATTACCAGCCCCTGTGCCAGACAGCACATCCCACCACTTTTCAAAAGCCTGAACCTACTAAATATATGAGACATACACTCATATTATTATGCCTACTTCATATACAGAACATTAAACTCCAATATAAACCCTCCAATTAAACTTCTCCTTATAGCTACAACAGAACGCACAGTCACAACACAAGGAACAAGGCACTCTTCGACACCCCTTGTGTATGCAAAAATGCAATGCACATAAAGGGCCTGAAGATCTAGAATTTACTACCTGAACTGGTAAAGGATCCCCTGACTACATACAAATTTAGGGCTATGCTTAAAAATCATTTCATCTCTCAATACTAACCAAACCAACCAAAACAACTTCTAATCAGTTTGAAGCAACTTTCCCAAATATTATATTATATGACCTCTAGTTTATTGAACATCTCTCAATCCATGAAATATTACTGTCTGAACCATTAATTGTAATATTGCTCTTATGTGCAACTTCAAGATTATTATTCTTATAAACCTCCACCTTGACCACCTCACATTAATATTAAGATAAAATAAAGATTTAATAAAAAGTTAACCACTCTTATCTTGTCTAGAGTTATTATATACTAGGATTAGTCTGCCCAAAATGCCCTGGCATGATAGTGGCTTTCTTTGTACTTAACGAACCAAAATTGTAATTACACATAGTAACCTTAGCAAAGAAATAAAATCTTTATTCTTTATTGCACTGCTGAATGAATGGTGTGTTAATATACTCTTCAGCCAATAGTTTGGATATATTTATCATATATTTTTGATAAATACAAATTAGACAAAGTTAAATGATAAACTTACACACTTTGCAAGGACATCTTTCCTCACAGGTTTTATGTTGGTCCGTGCCAATATATCTCCTCCAACGGCAGCTTGTATTGCAATCTGCAGATAAAATTTTGATAACTTTAAATATCACGTATTCAGTTATAGTAAGCGAGAAAACATGGTATAGTAGTACTTTGGTACTTGAACTTAATTCGTTCCAGAAGGCTGTTTGAGTGCCGATCTGTTCGAGTACTGAACAAATTTTTCCCAACCAATTTTCTTTTGGTTGGCTGTTATCACTAATCTTCTTAGGCCCCATGGTGACTTATTTATACAAAATAAAAAAAAACACCAAAACATGCGAAGAAACACGAAATAGTTTACAGTGAAGTTCTGGCAGGTCGTGTTTGTTTGGTTGAGTACCGAGCAAACGATTGACTACCAAGTGAATTTTTTTACTGAACAAAGCATTCGAATGCCGAACTGTTCGAGTAGTGAGATGTTTGAGTACCGAGGTACTATTGTATATGCAGTATGTGAACAATGTACAAGAATTGGCACTAAGCATGGCTACATGGAAGCAATATGGTAAAAGGGACTCAGTTCATGGAGGTGGAAAGTACAGTGCCTGCACTCTGAAAACAGTATAGTTTTTTTTTTTCAACAAGTTGGCCGTCTCCCACCGAGGCAGGGTGACCCAAAAAGAAAGAAATCCCCAAAAAGAAAATACTTTCATCATCATTCAACACTTTCACCTCACTCACACATAATCACTATTTTTGCAGAGGTGCTCAGAATACAACAGTTTAGAAGCATTTACTTATAAAGATACACAACATATCCCTCCAAACTGCCAATATCCTGAACCCCTCCTTTAGAGTGCAGGCATTGTACTTCCCATTTCCAGGACTCAAGTCTGGCTATACAAAAATAAACGGTTTCCCCGAATCCCTTCACTAAATATTATCCTGCTCACACTCCAACAGCTCGTCAGGTCCCAAATACCATTCGTCTCCATTCACTCCTAACATGCTCAAGCACGCTTGCTGGAAGTCCAAGCGCCTCGCCCACAAAACCTCCTTTACCCCCTCCCTCCAACCTTTTCGAGGACAACCCCTACCCCTCCTTCCTTTCCCTACAGATTTATATGCTCTCCATGTCATTCTACTTTGATCCATTCTCTCTAAATGACCAAACCACCTCAACAACCCCTTTTCAGCCCTCTGACTAATACTTTTATTAACTCCACACCTTCTCCTAATTTCCACAGTCCGAATTTTCTGCATAATATTTACACCACACATTGCCCTCAGACAGGACATCTCCACTGCCTCCAACCACCTCCTCGCTGCAGCATTTACAACCCAAGCTTCACACCTATATAAGAGTTTTGGTACTACTATACTTTCATACATTCCCTTCTTTGCCTCCATAGATAACGTTTTTTGTCTCCACATATACCTCAACGCACCACTCGCCTTTTTTCCTTCATCAATTCTATGATTACCCTCATCCTTCATAAATCCATTTGCTGACATGTCAACTCCCAATATCTGAAAACATTCACTTCTTCCATATTCCTCCTCCCCAATTTAATATCCAATTGACTCATGAAATCGTAATGACACGATTGCAAACAAACCATACTATGGGCGGGATTGAACCTGCGGTCAGAGTCTCAAAACTCCAGACTCTCTGACCGCGGGTTCAATCCCGCCCGTGGTATGGTTTAATATCCAATATTTCTTTATCTAAATCATTTGATACCCTCACCACCTTACTCTTTTCTATGTTCACTTTCAACTTTCTGCCTTTACACACTCTTCCAAACTCGTCCACTAACCTTTGCAATTTTTCTTTAGAATCTCCCATAAGCACAGTATCATCAGCAAAAGGTAACTGTGTCAATTCCCATTTTGTATTTGATTCCCCATAATTTAATCCCACCCTTCTGGAAAGACTAATTCTTGAATAAGTGGTGGTGAATGCAGCTCTTCCTTTGGGTCATTCTACCTTGGTGGGAAATAGATAAAATGAAGAAAAAACATTGTATTAACATTCTCTGAATGTACTGAAATATTGTCATTGATAAAACAATAATAATCTCTTGTGGTCCTGCTGTATGTAAAGGGTAGTAAGTAACATTTGATGTCACTTTGAATATATTTTGGCTATCTTTCCCTATAATAATTTTCATGGGCGCTACATAGTAAATCCACAAAATTCATAGCAATCTCAAATTTCCCACTGATCTACCATTTTAGGCCTTCACAAAACTTTTTTAGTTGGGTGTTACATAGTTAATCCTAGAAAAAAATTCTGGTCTACCAGGTGCATTATGAAAGTCACAAGTTCACACAGGAAAGTCATGTGACAAGCACAAGCAAAAATGGATAAACAAGACAATTCATTACTGCCTAAATTAAAGTGACTTGACAATTCTGATACATGGTAACTCTTATGATATTTATGACTGGAGTCAAGGAAATTGGTTAGCAAGACTTCCTGGAGGTGGGAAGGGTAGCTCCTGCACTCTGAAGGAGGAGTGAGGGATGTTGCAGAAAAAGAGCAATTTAGAATGTCATGTCAGCACTCTTCTGGCAAAAGAGCAGTTGAATAAATGACGATTAATGTGCTTCCTTCTCTGGGTCACCCTTCTGTGGTGTGAAGTCATTAATGTAAAAATGTAGCACAGAATATATATTTTTTCACATACCTGGAACAACTGCTTGGGTAAAGTTTCCTTTAATTTCTCACAAATATTCTTTCCCAGTGTTCTGGCTTGAGTAATGTGGGCAAGCGTTGAGAGCTCAGGAACAACTTGACCATTCAGGAGAATATTCAGCTGTGGACAAACGTAGAATACATAACTTTAGACCAATCACTTCACACATACAGGTGGTCCCAACACAATGGCAGCACCAAGGGGGGCTGAAGACCCCATAATCTCTATCAGTCTCCCTAAAGCTCCCAAATAATAACAATAATGCAGTAGTCTGAAGACAAGTCCCCTAGCCCCCTCTCCACATAAGTATGCAGAAAAACATTTATCCAAATAAAGACTTGTTTTGCATACTTGTGTTTGTCCACAGCAAGATAATATACCATATATAAAAGGGCTCCAGAAAACCAGGTAGAGAAACTGAGTTTTAAAGTTTGGGAAGTATACTGCCTGTACTTTGACAACAGAGTGGGCATATTGCAGTTCTGTGGGTCAATATTCAAACAGCAATGTTTAGGCCTTCTGGAATAGCAGCTAGAGAACTATTAATAGTGAAATGTTTGTATTTTTGAGTCTCAGTACCATGGTGAAAAACAACTGTAAAGTGTAATATAATAAAGAACTATTAACCTATAGTTAATTATTCTACAAATGGCTAACTAAATTTGAGGTTAGATTTACTAATAACTTAATGTCTCTAATTTTTTTTTTTAACTCAACAGCTATTTCTCTCCAAAGCAGGGTGACCAAAAGAAGATTTTTTTTTCCATCAAACTGGCCTTATCCCACCAAGGGAGGGTGACCTAAAAAGAAAAATGAAAGTTTCTCTTTTTAACTTTAGTAATGAAGGGGTTACTAGCCCCTTGCTCCCAGCATTCTAGTTGCCTCTTACGGCATGCATGGTTTAAGAAGGAAGAACTCTGTTCCACTTCCCCATGGAGAAGAAAAATATTATTTTTTATTATCACACTGGCCGATTCCCACCAAGGCAGGGTGGCCCGAAAAAGAAAAACTTTCACCATCATTCACTCCATCACTGTCTTGACAGAAGGGTGCTTTACACTACAGTTTTTAAACTGCAACATTTACACCCCTCCTTCAGAGTGCAGGCACTGTACTTCCCATCTCCAGGACTCAAGTCCGGCCTGCCGGTTTCCCTGAACCCCTTCATAAATGTTACTTTGCTCACACTCCAACAGCACGTCAAATATTAAAAACCATTTGTCTCCATTCACTCCTATCAAACACGCTCACGCATGCCTGCTGGAAGTCCAAGCCCCTCGCACACAAAACCTCCTTTACCCCCTCCCTCCAACCTTTCCTAGGCCGACCCCTACCCCGCCTTCCTTCCACTACAGACTGATACACTCTTGAAGTCACTCTGTTTCGCTCCATTCTCTCCACATGTCCGAACCACCTCAACAACCCTTCCTCAGCCCTCTGGACAACAGTTTTGGTAATCCCGCACCTCCTCCTAACTTCCAAACTACGAATTCTCTGCATTATATTCACACCACGCATTGCCCTCAGACATGACATCTCCACTGCCTCCAGCCTTCTCCTCGCTGCAACATTCATCACCCATGCTTCACACCCATATAAGAGCGTTGGTAAAAATATATTAACAAATTAAATTTTAATTTAACCACAATTTCAAAAGGATGTCTTTATATATGATGGCACAAAACAATTTTATTTACACTTATTGAAAATTCAAATACAGCACCTTTACAATGTCAGACGGCTCAAACCCCAAGTCTTCATAGTCAAATGTTGCATAACCTGATGACAATGACTTTAAAGCATCATAAAAGTCAACCACAATTTCATTCAATGGTAGTTTATACTGTATGATTAATCTGGTATTATCCAAGTTTCTCATACTATATTGAACTCCTCGTCTGCTGTGACACAGCCCGATGATGGCACCCAAGTAAGTGTCTGTAATATGCACAAAATTAAATTAATGCATGGCTTTTTGATAAGTGGAGTGTCATACGTACATGCCTAATCAGTGAAATCCAAACCCATGTGGAAACAGAAATGAAATAGGAGTGGTGCACATGTGTTTTAAATTCCAAGACATTCTGCCATGAATGCACATATTCTGATTAAGAATTCAGATAAACTAACATACTAAAACAACAAAATACTGATGTACAGGCATCCATCATGTAGAGAGAATGAGTGCGGGTGTTGATTGTATGACAATGGGTTGGCAGCTGGGGATATAGCTTGGGGGCTGCTGATAATAAAGAGGAAATGGAGGCAGAAGGTTAGTTAGGCTAAAAAAGGCCAATACTACAGTAATTACTGAAGGTGTTTAGAGGTGAAGTAAAAGTCAGCTGGTTGTGTTCCTAGAAGATCACTATAACACAATTGCAGAAGTGCCTAAACAAAGGAAAATATTAAAATTTAGAAGAGAATATTTCATCAAAAATATTGAATTATGTCATGTGCAATATCAGCTTCTTTTGATATAACTTGAAAAAATAAACTAAATTCTGAAGGGTGAAAGATGTATTTTGGGCCAGGGACTGATATATTCATAAGATTAAGGTCAGACTGAAGACAAAAATGAAAATAATGAGACCTTTTACTTTTTTGCAAAGAACAAAATAAAAGGAAAATTATTAACAGGCATTACAAGTCTAAAAATTAAACTCTTTGACACTGAACCAGTTCATAAAATAAGAAATAAATTACAAGTAAATTCACTTGTAAATTATAGAAGTTTAGATCATAAAAGAGTCAGAGAATACTGAAATACAGCACTGTACTTCAATGCAAGGCCTTTGTTTACTGCTATAACTTAAAGCATTTCATATACAATAAGAAATAAAAAATTCTTAGTAACGTAAGTACAGTAATCCACAATTATATGTAAATTAAACAATTGCTTTGAGATATAACTGACCAGGTGTGATAATAGTACCCATAACAAATGGTTCATTTGTCTCACTGATGTTATTCTTTTCTGGCCAAAGAGATGGGTTAGTGATGATTACTTCTTCTCTACCAAACTCACGAATGACACGACCACCCCGCAATTTTACCTGAAGAAATATGAAGAGTATTAAACAAAGAAAAACAATATACTTTATATAGATCATTCACATTGGGGTAATTAAAAAAGTTTTCTCCATCTCCACAGAACATGTGGCAGTGATTACCTAAACTGTCGTATCTGGGTGCCTCTGCAAAGACAATGATTATGTGTGAATGATAGTGAAAGTGTTTCTTTTTTTTTGGGGGGGGGGGGGGAGGGGGCTCACTCTGCCTTGGTTGGAGATCGCTGACATGTTAAAAAAAATATATACAGTATATACATATTTGACAGTTCTGATATAACAGTTCAGATGTCACTCCAAACAGCAAATATCCCAAACCCCTCCTTTAAAGTGCAGGCATTGTACTTCCCACCTCCAGGACTCAAATCTAGCTGACTGGTTTCCCTGAATCCCTTCACAAAATATTACCCTGCTCACACTCCAATTGCTCGTCAGGTTTCAAAAAACATTCGTCTCCATTTACTCCTATCTAACATGCTCATATATGCCTGCTGTACCCCCTCCCTCCATCCATTCCTAGGATGACCCCTACCCCTCCTCCCCTCCACTACGGATTTAAACACCCTCCAAGTCATCCTATTTTGCTCCTTCCTCTCTAAATGACCAAACCACTTCAACAACCCCTCCTCAGCTGTCTCAATAACACTTTTAGTAACTCCGCACCTCCTCCTAATTTCCACACTACAAATTCTGCATAATATTTATGCCACACACTGTCCTTTAGAGAATTGGTTATAATTATGACCATAATTTTTTAAGGGGGGGACTGGTAAGCCAGCAGAAGGCCTCATCCAGATGACCAAAAGCTCCAACGGTGGGTCATCATCTGACTAAGATCCGCATCAGGAAACACTTGTCCTGTTTCCTGACAAACCTTACCTAACCTAGCCTAACACTGCCCTTAGAAACGACATCTCCACACCTCCAGCCTCCGTCTTGCTGCAACATTCACAACCCATGCTTCACACTCATATAAGAGTGCTGGTACCACTATACTCATACATTCCTTTCTTTGCTTCCATTGATAATGTTTTTTTTTGTCTTCACAGTGTCAGGTTAAATTTGTTAAAAAACTCAATGTACATAAAAGGACCCAAAATCTGCAAATCTCTGCCATAAATCTCTAGAACTGCTGGCTCAGGTAGCATTTTTAAAAGTACAGTTAGAAAACACCTTATCTCCTTAACCTATCCTAGCCCATCATAAATAAATATGTAAAAACTATATGTGCATTTGCTCAATATCATGAACATAGGTAAAACATTATAATCAATATATACTTACTCTCAATATCTGTAGTCCTCTCAAATGTTAATCATTCCATTGTGTCCACCTTAGGTCAATAATCAAAACTGTAATTCTTCTCTACCAAACTTATTAAAGCCATATAGTATGAACTAACAGAATATTCAATTTTCTTGTAATCATTGTAATTCACCTAATGACCATTTTTTTTTTTTTTTTTTTTTTTCAACAAGTCGGCCGTCTCCCACCGAGGCAGGGTGACCCAAAAAAGAAAGAAAATCCCCAAAAAGAAAATACTTTCATCATCATTCAACACTTTCACCACACTCGCACATTATCACTGTTTTTGCAGAGGTGCTCAGAATACAACAGTCTAGAAGCATACACATATAAAGATACACAACATATCCCTCCAAACTGCCAATATCCCAAACCCCTCCTTTAAAGTGCAGGCATTGTACTTCCCATTTCCAGGACTCAAGTCCGACTATATGAAAATAACCGGTTTCCCTGAATCCCTTCACTAAATATTACCCTGCTCACACTCCAACAGATCGTCAGGTCCCAAGTACCATTCGTCTCCATTCACTCCTATCTAACACGCTCACGCACGCTTGCTGGAAGTCCAAGCCCCTTACCCACAAAACCTCCTTTATCCCCTCTCTCCAACCCTTTCGAGGACGACCCCTACCCGCCTTCCTTCCCCTATAGATTTATATGCTTTCCATGTCATTCTACTTTGATCCATTCTCTCTAAATGACCAAACCACCTCAACAACCCCTCCTCTGCCCTCTGACTAATACTTTTATTAACTCCACACCTTCTCCTAATTTCCACACTCCGAATTTTCTGCATAATATTTACACCACACATTGCCCTTAAACAGGACATCTCCACTGCCTCCAACCGTCTCCTCGCTGCTGCATTTACCACCCAAGCTTCACACCCATATAAGAGTGTTGGTACTACTATACTTTCATACATACCCTTCTTTGCCTCCATAGATAACGTTTTTTGACTCACATATACCTCAACGCACCACTCACCTTTTTTCCCTCATCAATTCTATGATTAACCTCATCCTTCATAAATCCATCCGCCGACACGTCAACTCCCAAGTATCTGAAAACATTCACTTCTTCCATACTCCTCCTCCCAATTTGATATCCAATTTTTCTTTATCCAAATCATTTGACACCCTCATCACCTTACTCTTTTCTATGTTCACTTTCAACTTTCTACCTTTACACACATTCCCAAACTCATCCACTAACCTTTGCAATTTTTCTTTAGAATCTCCCATAAGCACAGTATCATCAGCAAAAAGTAACTGTGTCAATTCCCATTTTGAATTTGATTTCCCATAATTTAATCCCACCCCTCTCCCAAACACCCTAGCATTTACTTCCTTTACAACCCCATCTATAAATATATTAAACAACCATGGTGACATTACACATCCCTGTCTAAGACCTACTTTTACCGGGAAGTAGTCTCCCTCTCTTCTACACACCCTAACCTGAGCCTCACTATCCTCATAAAAACTCTTTACAGCATTTAATAACTTACCACCTATTCCATATACTTGCAACATCTGCCACATTGCTCCTCTATCCACTCTATCATATGCCTTTTCTAAATCCATAAATGCAATAAAAACTTCCCTATCTTTATCTAAATACTGTTCACATATATGCTTCAATGTAAACACCTGATCTACACATCCCCTACCCACTCTAAAACCTCCTTGCTCATCCGCAATCCTACATTCTGTCTTACCTCTAATTCTTTCAATTATAACCCTACCGTACACTTTTCCTGGTATACTCAGTAAGCTTATTCCTCTATAATTTTTACAGTCTCTTTTGTCCCCTTTCCCTTTATATAAAGGGACTATACATGCTCTCTGCCAATCCCTAGGTACCTTCCCCTCTTTCATACATTTATTAAACAAAAGTACCAACCACTCCAACACTATATCCCCCCCTGCTTTTAACATTTCTGTCATGATCCCATCAGTTCCAGCTGCTTTACCCCCTTTCATTTTACGTAATGCCTCACGTACCTCCCCCACACTTACATTCTGCTCTTCTTCACTCCTAAAAGATGGTATACCTCCCTGACCAGTGCATGAAATTACTGCCTCTGTTTCTTCCTTAACATTTAAAAGTTCCTCAAAATATTCTCGCCATCTACCCAATACCTCCATCTCCCCATCTACTAACTCCCCTACTCTGTTTTTAACTGACAAATCCATATTTTCCCTAGGCTTTCTTAACTTGTTTAACTCACTCCAAAATTTTTTCTTATTTTCATTAAAATTTCTTGACAGTGCCTCTCCCACTCTATCATCTGCTCCCCTTTGCACTCTCTCACCACTCTCTTTACCTTTCTTTTACTCTCCATATACTCTGCTCTTCTTATAACACTTCTGCTTTGTAAAAAACCTCTCATAAGCTACCTTTTTCTCTTTTATCACACCCTTTACTTCATCATTCCACCAATCACTCCTCTTTCCTCCTGCCCCCACCCTCCTATAACCACAAACTTCTGCCCCACTTCTAATACTGCATTTTTAAAACTATTCCAACCCTCTTCAACCCCCCCACTACTCATCTTTGCACTAGCCCACCTTTCTGCCAATAGTCGCTTATATCTCACCCGAACTTCCTCCTCCCTTAGTTTATACACTTTCACCTCCCTCTTACTTGTTGTTGCCACCTTCCTCTTTTCCCATCTACCTCTTACTCTAACTGTAGCTACAACTAAATAATGATCCGATATATCAGTTGCCCCTCTATAAACATGTACATCCTGGAGCCTACCCATCAACCTTTTATCCACCAATACATAATCTAATAAACTACTTTCATTACGTGCTACATCATACCTTGTATATTTATTTATCCTCTTTTTCATAAAATATGTATTACTTATTACCAAATTTCTTTCTACACATAGCTCAATTAAAGGCCCCCTTTTACATTTACCCCTGGCACCCAATTTACCTACTACTCCTTCCATAACATTTTACCCACTTTAGCATTGAAATCCTCAACCACCATTACTCTCACACTTGATTCAAAACTCCCCCTGCATTCACTCAACATTTCCCAAAATCTCTCTCTCTCCTCTACACTTCTCTCTTCTCCAGGTGCATACACGCTTATTATACCCACTTTTCACATCCAATCTTTATTTTACTCCACATAATCCTTGAATTAATACATTTATAGTCCCTCTTTCCTGCCATAGCTTATCCTTCAAATTATTGCTACTCCTTCTTTAGCTCTAACTCTATTTGAAACCCCCGACCTAATCCCATTTATTCCTCTCCACTGAAACTCTCCCACCCCCTTCAGCTTTGTTTCACTTAAAGCCAGGACATCCAGCTTCTTCTCATTCATAACATCCACAATCATCTCTTTCTTATCATCTGCACAACATCACGCACATTCAGACTTCCCACTTTGACAATTTTCTTCTTCTTATTCTTTTAGTAATCTTTACAGGAAAAGGGGTTACTAGCCCATTGTTCCCGGCATTTTAGTTGACTTTTACAACACGCATGGCTTACGGAGGAAAGATTCTTATTCCACTTCCCCATGGATATAAAAGGAAAAATTTAAAAAGACCAAGAACTATTAAGATAAAATCAAAGAAAACTCAGATGAGTGTGTATAAATAAATGTGTACATGTATGTGTAGTGTGACCTAAGTGTAAGTAGAAGTAGCAAGACATGCCTGTAATCTTGCATATTTATGAGACAGACAAAAGACATCAGCAATCCTACCATCATGTAAAACAATCACAGGCTTCGTTTTACACTCACTTGGCAGGACGGTAGTACCTCCCTGGGTGGTTGCTGTCTACCAACCTACTACCTAATGACCATATATACAATTATTGCACTGTTACTGCCTTACTAATTTTAAGGTAGTCTTAAGTTTGCCCGAAAAGCTCTGCATAAAAAGGGGCTTTTGGCATGTACACCCAATTGTTATACTCCTTTGTACAAACATATATCATGCTAAAATAAAAAGTATTATTATTATTATACAGTGGAACCTCAAAAATCAAACCTAATCCGTTCCAGGAGCTAGTTCTAAATTCGAAAAGTCTGAAATTCGAAGCAATATTTCCCATAAGAAATAATGGAAATACAATTAATCCGTTCCAGAAACCCAAAAATATTCACACAAAAAATACATTTTATAGAGATTAATTACAGTTTTACATACAACAAATACTATAGTTTTTAATTATGCACAGTAATACATATAAAATAACATTTTTACTTACCTTTATTGAAGACTGGTGATGGCATCTGGAAGATAGGGAGGAGGAGAGAGGGAGTTGGGGTTAGTGTTTGGAAGAAGAATCCCCCTCCATGAGGACTTCAGGTAAAGCCCTCTCTGGGGTTACTTCCCTTCTCTGTCTTTTAATGCCACTAGGACCAGCTTGAGAGTCACTGGACCCCTGTCTCACTAAATAACTGTCCACAGTCCTCTGTTTCTGGCGCCTCTTTAACATTTCCCTAAAATGGGACATGGTTCTGTCACTGAACTTGTTGCAAAGATGGCTTGTTTCAGCTTGCTCAGGGTGGTACTTCTGCACAAACATTTGGACATCATTCCACTTGGCACAAATCTCCTTAATCTTTGAAGAAGGCACCTCATCCACTCCCTATATTAACACCTTTCGCAACATCAGCTTCCTTGATTTGTTCTTTCTTTGACAGGATAGAACCGATGGTAGACTTGTTTTTACCATACATCCTGGAAAGCTCAACAAGTCTCACACCACTCTCATACTTCTGTATTATTTCCTTCTTCACATCTATGGTGTTTCTCACTTTCTTTACCACAGGGGTACCACTAGCAAGTTTCTTTGGGCCCATGGCAGCTTATTTTACAATCCCACAAGCACTAAACACAACAAAATAATCGTAAAATGCGTGAATGAGAGCGCAAGTCAGTGTTCACTCGAGCATAAACAAAGCTAGACTGTTCACGGCGCCTGCGCGGGGACGCGGACAAAGCGGGTGGCAGACAGGTCCCATACCCGACGGTCCGAAAATAGGGGCACGTTCGATAATAGGGACACAGTTTGTCCGAAAAAATGGTCCTATTTTCAAAACGTTCGATATGTGATACGTTCGATTTTTGAGGTTCCACTGTACCTCAGTGCACCACCCACCTTTTTTCCTTCATCAGTTCTATAGTTAACTGGTGACAGGTCTATTTCCAAATATCTGAACACATTCACTTTTTCCATACTCCCTCCCTCCCATGTGATATCCAATTTTTCTTTACCTAGCTCGTTTGATACCCTCATCACCATACCCTTATCTATGTTCACTTTCAACTTTCTTCTCACAAGCACAGTATCATCAGCAAAAAGTAACTGTGCCAACCCCTATTTTGTATTTGATTCCCCATAGTTTAATCCCACCCCTCTCCCCAACACCCTAGCATTTACTTCTTTTACAACCCCATCTATATATTGTCTAGAATTGAAGGTCCTGAACTCAATTCTAAACAAGGTAGGGTACATGGGCATATCTCCTAACACCTACTTTCCCCTGTTCCCTTATGTGTTAGTTGATGATTGTGGGTCACATCTTAAGACAGAAAGCCAACATACCCCAACGGAAATAAGTCACACTGATTGGCTTTTGTTTCAAATCTTCCAGGTCTGAAATATAGTTTTCTTCTTCACTCTAAGACGACAACACCAATCTTAGACCACACAAACCATTACTCAATACTCAGAAATACCTTGGATCAAAATACTATATACGTATCAGCATTATACTGGAGTATTTGTAACTGATTTAAGATGGGCAAGCAACAATAGCCCTAATCTCATTACTCAAATCTATCTACTATGGTATCTTGATATTTTCTATCTCTCATTTTTATTATTACCTTTCTAAGCTCTGTGCATCATGCTATCCCTTAGCATTTGAACTGTCTCTTAAATTTTTTTAATGATAACAGTACTGAAGGAAATTTTTATATAATGATTAGAAATCGAAAAAAAAAAAAAAAAAAAATAGAAAATTACCCAGTCTCATTTTAATTAAATAATTTTTAACCAAAATAATAAGAAACTTGCACTTATTTTACTAGCCACTCTTCTTACTACTATAGCTTACATTTTATCATCATCTGCTCTGTTTTCCTCCACTCACATCACTTTTTTCTTGAAAAACTTTCTACCAATTCTTTCTGGTTTTTTCTTTATATGTTCCTCTCTATGTTTCATGTTTCTTCTCTTCTACTTCTTCACTTGAATATAATTGCTGAAAATTATCCTGATCCTTAATGAAAGTTCTTGCTTAAAAGTGCATGCAGATGGATACTATTTTTGTTATAGCTAGCCCAATAAGTGTACAGGTTGGCCACACATCCGGCATCATTGGGACCTGCAGCATGTTGGATTAGCGAGTTTGCCAGATTACAGAGTGGTTAGGTTAGAATACACTTAATTAACCTACCAATAAAGACTCTTTCTGCTACATCTTCCTCATTTTCATCACTGCTTTCTCCTCCATTGGCTTGCTGCTGTGGATTTACAACCATATACACAACTTCTGAGTCAGTATAATGATGAAATTTGAAATTATGCTAGCTGAAATTAGTGCAGGATTACTGATGGAACCAGATAACTGATTGCCGGATTAGTGATGGATGACCTGTAATTATTTTGACAAATGTTTCAGATGTTTCATTAAGAATCCTTTCAACACTGAAAGGCAGTATCTGGAAAGCCTGAGAAAGAGTCAGCATGAAAGCTGTCAACTTGAGGAGAGAGCATTTCCACAATAAACAAGGCATCAGAGATGTAGCGAACAAAAAGAGGAAACAGATTTACATAAACAAGACAGTGATTATGTATGAGTAAGGTGAAAGTGTTGAATGATGATGAAAGTATTTTCTTTTTGAGGATTTTCTTTCTTTTTGGGTCACCCTGCCTTGGTGGGAGATGGCTGACTTGTTGAAAAAAAAAAAATGTACAAACATTATTGACACAGAAACAATTTTACATACATCAACATTACATGCATACAAGTAATCTCCTGGGGAGACAAAAACTATATTGTTTACCGTAGTCACCCGTGTAAACATGTGAGAAAACTTAACCACCTCTGGTCACTGCAGGTGGCCCCTCGACCCTCACAATCTTAACTCAAACAAGATCAGAAAACTAAATGACACAGTTCAGAGTACTCCAGCCTTATCACACTCACAGAAACTAAGATAACACGTGCATCACTCACAGAAGTTATTATATAATAAGATTTGAGTAGGAAGAAGGAGAGAAGGTAGACAAAAATACTAGAAAAAACTAGGAGGTGCGTTGGGAGGCTTGCTGCAACTTGTAGAGGCCCGCAAGGGCCTTACAAGCTATTGTATGCCTTGAGTGAATGTGTCCGTATAAGCGAAGACGGTAGTCAAGATTAACGCCAAGGACAGTGGCGGATTGTAACTTTATTAATAATAGGAAAGCTTACAAAAAAGAAAAGTATAGAGAAAAAAGATTTACATAAATATAAACAATGTGCAAATATTATTAACACAAAAACGTTATTAATTATAGGAAACTTTATAAAAAAAAGAAAAGCATGGGCTAACCTTGTAAGGAACAGTAGGAGTTGTTATGATCACTTGAGCACCATGTTCTTGCTCCAGCCGCTGGGTAAACACATCCATGTGTAAAAGACCCAGAAATCCAAGTCTCCATCCTTGACCTAATGATGCACTGGAAAAACAATAACAAATACAATCTTTAATTTATATTTTAAGGATATTATCAGATTGCTAAATGTAAAAAGAAGAAAAACTTTACATTTTCTTCTTTTTCGGGTCACCCAGCCTTGGTGGGAGATGGCCGGTATGTTAAAAAAAAATACCAGATTTAAATTAAATGTAGATTATTAATTTTAAACACATCAGCCTTCTTACCTAGATTCAATGGAAACAGACACACTTGCATCATTGAGGCAGAGATGTTCTATAGCAGCTTTGAGTGCTGGGTGCTCCTTCTGATCAATAGGATAAACACCACCAAACACCTGAAATGAATAAAGTCATGAATTGATATGTTCCTCCTTAGTTTTACATCTAGTTCATTATTCTTCATTTAATAATTTCGTTAATCTAGACCAAATCAAAACAAAAAATAACTTTTATGCTACCTCTGATTTATATTTTCATTACTTTGTACCACAGTGTTGCCTACTGATACTTTCTGAGGTCACTGATGTAAAGGCTTGACTATGCCTTTACATCAACCACCTCAATTTATATTAAATGCCTATTTTCATGTGAATAATTTTTTGTACTTACAAGAGTAGAACTATACACATTGTGCCATATTCAATTAGTAATTTATTTTAATTTTCATTTGTGCCTCCCTTTCCCAGATATCTACCACCAATGTTTGTGAAGAAATATTTTCTAGTATCCTTCTATTTTTTTTTATGAACTCTAACCTCTTGTTCTCCCTATTAAAAATGTCAAGGAATCTTACTTGTTTACTTTCTTGAGGCCTTTTATAAGCTCATTTCTTACAGTATCACATATGCATCCTCTTTGTTCCTCTGCTTACCAATAAGGTCAATTGCAGTGCTTTCAGCCATTTGTTTAAATCATATTCCTTATCTGTGGAATCTTTCACTACATGGGTTTTAAACTTTTTTATTTCCATCTGCATAACATATTTCATAGATATTGGCACTTTAGTACTGCTGAATGGGTATATTACCTGGGAATTCTCACAGTATAGATACAACATATTTACAGAGGTTTTGGTTTAGTAATAATCTGGCAGTTGAGATTGGTAGTTCACAAATCTGGCAAGATTTCAAAATACGTATTGCATTATGTGATATTCAGCTGTGTCATGCTTGAAACTTAGAGAAAAGTTCTGTTGCTAGCAGTAACATTAATAATGAGAGAGGTAACATATTTTTTTTTTTTAACAAGTCGGCCGTCTCCCACCAAGGTAGGGTGACCCAAAAAGAAAGAAAATCCCCAAAAAGAAAATACTTTCATCATCATTCAACACTTTCACCTCACTCACACATAATCACTGTTTCTGCAGAGGTGCTCAGGACACAACAGTTTAGAAGCATATACGTATAAAGATACACAACATATCCCTCCAAACTGCCACTATCCCGAACCCCTCCTTTACAGTGCAGGCATTGTACTTCCCATTTCCAGGACTCAAGACTGGCTATATAAAAATAACTGGTTTCCCTGAATCCCTTCACTAAATATTACCCTGCTCACACTCCAACAGATCGTCAGGTCCCAAATACCATTTGTCTCCATTCACTCCTATCTAACACGTTCACGCACGCCTGCTGGAAGTCCAAGCCCCTTACCAAAAACCTCCTTACCCCTTCCTTCCACATTTCGAGGGACCCCTACCCACTTCCTTTTCTACAGATTTAAATGCTTCCAAGTCATTCTACTTTGATCCATTCTCCTAAATGACCAAACCTACTCAACAACCCTCTCAGCCCTATGCCTAATACTTTTATTAACTGCACACTTCTCCTAATTTCACACTTCGAATTTTCTGATAATATTTACACACACATTGCCCTTGACAGGACATCTCACTGCGTCCAACCACCTCCTTGCTGCTGCATTCAACAGCCAGCTTCACACCATATATGATGTTTATACTATACTTTCATAATTCCCTATTTAGCCTCCATAGATAACATTTTTGGTCTCCACATATACATCAACACACCATTCACCTTTTTTCCCTCATCAATTCTATGATTAACCTCATCCTTCATAAATCCATCCACCGACACGTCAACTCCCAAGTACATGTATCTGAAAACATTCACTTCTTCCATACTCCTCCTCCCCAATTTGATATCCAATTTTTCTTTATGTAAATCATTTGATACCCTCATCACCTTGCTCTTTTCTATGTTCACTTTCAACTTTCTACCTTTACACATACTCCCAAACTCGTTCACTAACCTTTGCAATTTTTCTTTAGAATATCCCATAAGCACAGTATCATCATTGAAAAGCAACTGTGTCAATTCCCATTTTGTATTTAATTCCCCATAATTTAATCCCACCCCTCTCCCGAACACCCTAGCATTTACTTCTTTTACAACCCCATCTATAAATATATTAAACAACCATGGTGACATTACACATCCCTGTCTAAGACCTACTTTTACTGGGAAGTACTTTCCCTCTCTTCTACACACCCTAACCTGAGCTTCACTATCCTCATAAAAACTCTTTACAGCATTTAGTAACTTACCACCTATTCCATATACGTACTTGCAACATCTGCCACATTGCTCCTCTATCCACTCTATCATATGCCTTTTCTAAATCCATAAATGCAATAAAAACTTCCCTACCTTTATCTAAATACTGTTCACATATATGCTTCAATGTAAACACTTGATCTACACATCCCCTACCCACTCTAAAACCTCCTTGCTCATCTGCAATCCTACATTCTGTCTTACCTCTAATTCTTTCAATTATAACCCTACTGTACACTTTTCCTGGTATATTCAGTAAACTTATTCCTCTATAATTTTTACAATCTCTTTTGTCCCCCTTACTTTTATATAAAGGGACTATACATGCTCTCTGCCAATCCCTAGGTACCTTCCCCTCTTTCATACATTTTTTTTTTTTTCAACAAGTCGGCCGTCTCCCACCGAGGCAGGGTGACCCAAAAAAGAAAGAAAATCCCCAAAAAGAAAATACTTTCATCATCATTCAACACTATCACCACACTCACACATTATCACTGTTTTTGCAGAGGTGCTCAGAATACAACAGTTTAGAAGCATACACATATAAAGATACACTACATATCCCTCCAAACTGCCAACATCCCAAACCCCTCCTCTAAAGTGCAGGCATTGTACTTCCCATTTCCAGGACTCAAGTCTGACTATATGAAAATAACCGGTTTCCCTGAATTCCTTCACTAAATATTACCCTGCTCACACTCAACAGATCGTCAGGTCCCAAGTACCATTCGTCTCCATTCACTCCTATCTAACACGCTCACGCACGCTTGCTGGAAGTCATACATTTATTAAACAAAAATACCAACTACTCCAACACTATATCCCCCCCTGCTTTTAACATTTCTGTCATGATCCCATCAGTTCCAGCTGCTTTACCCCCTTTCATTCTACGTAATGCCTCACACACCTCCCCCACACTCACATCCTGTTCTTCTTCACTCCTAAAAGATGGTAACAGATAGCAGGTATGTTAACAGGTAACAGATATGTACCCATAATTCTATAATACTACTGTACAGTGGTACCTTGAGTTACAAACTTAATTCGTTCCAGAAGGCTGGTCAAGTACGATACCAAACGAATTTGTTCCCATAAGGAATAATGTAAATTAGATTAGTCCATTGGAAACCCCCAAAAATACACTTACAAAAATACACTTAGATAATTGTTTGAGTTGGGAGCTGTTTGAAACTCGAGGTACCACTGTATATCTGAACCTAAAATATTCCATATAATAATAATAATAATAATAAATTACTTTATTTCAGCATGATACACGTCTGTACAAAGGAGTATAACAATTGGGTGTACGTGCCAAAAGCCCCTTTATATGCATTACATTTCGGGTAAACTTAAAACTTAACTTACAGTAGAATTCTTCCTCTGTAAGCCATGTGTGTCATATGAGGCAAATAAAATGCTGGGAGCAAGGGGCTAGTAACCCTTTCTGTATAAATTACTAAATTTATAAAGAAAAAATTTTTGTTTTCATTTTAGGTCATTTTGCCTCAGTGGGATATGGCCAATTTGTTGAAAAAAAATATAGTATATGCAGTAGTACAAATAATATTAAAAAAACTGAAAGACATGCAGTAATGTGACTACTGTGCTACTATACAGTTATCCCATGCTACCACTAACCTATTTACTCCTCCTGGTTTTGCAGCAGTGAGTCGCTAATTATTTCATTTTTCACTTTCCATATTTACTTTTTTACATAATAATAGCTTCTAAAAAAATATCTCTTCCCAGCTGCAAGTACAGTGGTTAAACAATATGCAGATTTTGAAAACTAAAATTTTTTGAAGACATTCTTAAAACCTTTTTTTAAACAAATAATTTTTCCCCATTATTTGCATTTAATTTACAGTTTATTTTCCAAATTGCAAATGCTTACTAAAGCATTAAAGACTCAACTGTACTCATATAAAATTCTAGATGACTATATACATATTACAGATATGCAATCAACAACACTTGTATTAGCTCTTTCTATGTACTAATCCCAAAATTGCACAAATCCAACTGTAAAATAACAAGATTTAAAAATTATTATCACCAGACCACACCATAGGTTTTGCTGGTTTGAAGCCCTGAAGAGGTTCGCATTTTGCACTCTTAAGATGGAACGTGTCCCCCACTTGTGCTTCTTTAGCTGCTCGTATGTTAGCTGTGAAATACCCAACCTGTCCCGTATACCTGCAGATTAAAAGGAAATATATTAACACATACAATACCTCTGGAAGTGACATACTGCATTTGAGTGTAAAAATTACTTTTAAATTAAAATATACTTACAGATATTGGAATGATTAATTGGATTGCACTTTCTTCTAGTAATCGTAGTCTTTCATAAGAACATAAGAAAGGAGAAACATTGCAGCAGGCCTGCTGGCCCATACTAGGCAGGTCCTTCACAGATCCATCCCACTAATAGAATATTTGCCCTCATAAGAACATAATATCATAAGAAATAAGGAACACTGCAACAGGTCTACTGGTCTTTGTGAGGCAGCTCCAATACTCCCCACGGCTTAAGCCAATGCCTTGACCTAGTGAGGTCAGACACATCACTTAAGGGATTAGCACTGCTTCCGACCTAGTAGCTAGTCAGGTCCATTTTACACCCTCTCACACCCACCCATAAGACCATAAGAAAGAAGGAACACTGCGCCAATCCAGGCGCCTGATTGACATGACCCACCGGAGCAGGTCCAATGACCCCCCCGGATTATCCCAATGGACCCACCCAATCTGGTCATCCCCACTCAAGGATGGAGCACTGTACCAGACCCAGCAGCACAAGCTAGTCAGGACCAACTCACACCCACCCTCACCCACTCATGTATTTATCTAACCTATTTTTAAAACTACACAATGTTTTAGCTTCTATAACTGCACTCGGGAGCTTGTTCCACTCATCCACAACTCTATTACCAAACCAGTGCTTTCCTATATCCTTCCTGAATCTGAATTTTTCCAACTTGAAACCATTGCTGCGAGTCCTGTCTTGGCTGGAAATTTTCAGCACACTATTTACATCCCCTTTATTTATTCCTGTTTTCCATTTATACACCTCGATCTTATCCCCCCTAATTCTACGCCTTTGAGAGAGTGCAGATTCAGGGCCCTCAGTCTATCCTCATAGGGAAGATTTCTGATACATGGATCATCTTTGTCATCCTCCTTTGTACGTTTTCCAGAGCATTTATATCCATTCTGTAATACGGTGACCAGAACTGAGCAGCATAGTCTAAATGAGGCCTAACCAAGGATATATAGAGTTGAAGAACAACCTGAGGACTTCTATTATTTATACTTCTAGATATGAAGCCAAGAATTCTGTTAGCTTTACTGCGAACACTAATGCACTGTTGTCTTGGTTTTAGATTACTGCTAACCAGAACTCCTAAATCCTTTTCGCAATCGGTAGTATTAAGATCTACATTATTTAGTTTATATGTGGCATGGTTATTTAACTGTCCAACATTTAGAACTTTGCATTTGTCAATATTAAACTGCATCTGCCACTTCTCCGACCATTGCGTCAGTCTATTCAAATCATCCTGGAGTGCTCTAATGTCCTCATTAGAATGAATTGGACGGCCTATTTTGGTGTCGTCAGCAAATTTGCTTATGTCGCTATTTATTCCCTCATCTATGTTGTTTATGTAAATTGTGAACAAAAACGGGCCCAACACTGACCCCTGAGGAACACCGCTTGTTATGTACCCCCATTCTGATTTCTCCCCATTTATGCAAACTCCATTGAGTATATGTCACCTCCCTTATAAAGCTCTTCCATACAGTATGATTTCTTTGTAAATATGATTGAAAAAGTATATTCAAAATTGAACAGCATGTGAAAAGACCTTCATAGTACACATATATGCAATTCATCTTGGAAACATTTTTTCACTTGTATTTACAAAAAAGAAAAGCACATTATATAAAGGAGGTTAATAACTGATAAGAAACATGACTGTAACTCACACTGTGTTTATAGATGCTGGTGCACAGCAGACACCGTAGCCCCACAAGATGAAAAATCACATTACACAAATAACCCACATACAGGAGAAAGAAACTTATGATGACGTTTTGGCGCGACTTGGACCATAACATAGTACGTGCGAGTTATTTGTGTATTCTTCCAGTAACTGCACTGTGCCGTTTTATTCTTTATGAAAAATCACAATACTAAGAATGTCAACACAAAACACTATTTGGTAAGGTTGATCTGGATGGATATATTGGGTCACAGAATTTCCAACAGGTCTGTTCTGCTGGCAATAGCAACATGCCAGTTACAATGGTTATAAACATAAAAACTAGAACAATTCTCTATTTGAGCTAACTAGTTCAAGGCATAGTAAAAAAAAAAAAAAAAAAATTTAGTTATAGGATGGTAAATTAGTGCTTAATATCCCTTGTGAGTTTAGGTGCTGTCCCTAATATAATAATAATAATAATAATAATAATAACAAAAACATTAGTAATAATAATATTATTATTATTATTATTTATCGCATGCTGCATTGATTCTAGCTACTGTATTTCCTTACATGTTTATTTTAATGTCTCCTGTACTAGCCAGACTTGAATTCCGGAGGTGAGAAATTCAGTACCCTGAAGAACAGGTGGGAATCTGGAGTTCAGAGGGTCATTTGAACTGTAATGTCAATACATTTTGGATGCATTTCTTTGGGTCCCGCTGCCCTGGTGGGAGACAAGCAATGCGGTCCAACATTTTTACTAACATTATCAATGGAAATGAGTCAATGGAAATAAGTCACTCTGACTATTTTGGGATGTCCTAGGTTCTTTACATATATACTGCTATGTATGATAATCTATGTATGATAATCTAAAGAAAAATTGGATATCAAATTGGGGAGGAGGAGTATGGAAGAAGTGAATGTTTTCAGATACTTGGGAGTTGACGTGTCGGCGGATGGATTTATGAAGGATGAGGTTAATCATAGAATTGATGAGGGAAAAAAGGTGAGTGGTGCGTTGAGGTATATGTGGAGTCAAAAAATGTTATCTATGGAGGCAAAGAAGGGAATGTATGAAAGTATAGTAGTACCAACACTCTTATATGGGTGTGAAGCTTGGGTGGTAAATGCAGCAGCGAGGGAGACGGTTGAAGGCAGTGGAGATGTCCTGTTTAAGGGCAATGTGTGGTGTAAATATTATGCAGAAAATTCGGAGTGTGGAAATTAGGAGAAGGTGTGGAGTTAATAAAAGTATTAGTCAGAGGGCAGAAGAGGGGTTGTTGAGGTGGTTTGGTCATTTAGAGAGAATGGATCAAAGTAGAATGACATGGAAAGCATTTAAATCTATAGGGGAAGGAAGGCGGGGTAGGGGTCGTCCTCGAAAGGGTTGGAGAGAGGGGGTAAAGGAGGTTTTGTGGGTAAGGGGCTTGGACTTCCAGCAAGCGTGCGTGAGCGTGTTAGATAGGAGTGAATGGAGACGAATGGTACTTGGGACCTGACGATCTGTTGGAGTGTGAGCAGGGTAATATTTAGTGAAGGGATTCAGGGAAACCGGTTATTTTCATATAGTCGGACTTGAGTCCTGGAAATGGGAAGTACAATGCCTGCACTTTAAAGGAGGGGTTTTGGGATATTGGCAGTTTGGAGGGATATGTTTGTGTATCTTTATATGTGTATGCTTCTAGACTGTTGTATTCTGAGCACCTCTGCAAAAACAGTGATAATGTGCGAGTGTGGTGAAAGTGTTGAATGATGATGAAAGTATTTTCTTTTTGGGGATTTTCTTTCTTTTTTGGGTCACCCTGCCTCGGTGGGAGACGGCCGACTTGTTGAAAAAAAAAAAAAAAAAAAAAAAAAAAACCTTAATAAACTTACTTACACACTGTCTGACTTTTTTTGGAGCTATCCTAGGTAATTTACACATAAATTAATATGTATGATAACTGTATGCATGTGTACCTGTACCTAAATAAACTTCATAAATAAACTTACTTCACTCTCCAGAAGCTTTGTCAAGCTGCTGGAGAGCAAAATATTGCCACAATAAAATATCACATTGGTTGCACTTGTGTCCTTTTCCCTAACAAACTTACTGACTAAAACTTGCTGAATATACTGAAGCTCCAAATGACTGGCATATAAAAATTCAGCAACTTACAACTGTGGTACTGAAGTTTCAAGAGGTGTAAGGATTCCCAAATCTCTCACTTCATAAGATTTTCCTGAGTGTGAAGATGTAATGTGATCACCTTTCTTTAAAGTGCCATCAACCACCAATATCAAGCAAACAGCACCCTAAAAGTGGAAAAAAAACATGGGTTGTACACAAATTATGACCTGGTTTAATAATAGCTATCACTAACACAAACACAACCTCTATAACTAATAAAGATTTAGATTCATATTCAGATTTGATACAATATGCTGTACAGTACCATTCATACCTCCAAACTCTTAGTGGAGCATAATTAACCCGTAAACGGTCCAAACGTATATATACGTTTTTTCAGCATTTGAAAGTATGTAAAAAAAGTAGATCTCCTTTTTGTTTTTTTACATTTGAAAACGTGTAAAAAAACTTTGATCTACTGTTTTTTTTTGTTACATTTGAAAATATGTAAAAAAAACATAGATCTACTTCTGTAGCACTACACATGTGAACGTAGATCTGCTTGGACCGTTTATGGGTTAATGCATAAAAATGTGAAATACAGTACAGCGGACCCTTGGTTACTGGTCTTTCCGCTTATCGGCCAACTCGGTTATCAGCCGGTTTTTCAGCTTCCAGTTATCAGCCGTTATTTCACTTATTGGCTGCATGGGACATGTCAACCCGCCTGCCCACCAGCCACTCATGCGTTCCTGAGCCAGTCTGGCTGTGTCTCTGGGTGAGTGAGGACACTTCTGCTCATTCATCCAAACATCAAGGAAGCTAATGTTGTGAAAGGAAGTTCAGCAGGGAGGCAGGGAGTGTAGCAGGCAGGCAGGACCCCAATGGAAATAAGTCACTCTGTCTGACTTTTTTGGGTTATCCTAGGTTCTTCACACATATGCTGTGGAAGGGAGGCAGGGAGTGTAGCAGGGAAGCAGGAAGTGTGGAAGGGAGGCAGGGAGTGTAGCAAGGAAACAGGGAGTGTGGAAGAGAGGCAGGGAGTGTAGTAGGGAGGCAGGGTGTAGCAGGAAGGCAAGGAGTGTAGCAGCTATGTAGGGAGTGTAGCAGGCAGGGAGGGAAGTAACCCCAGTGAGGGTTTTGATACCTGAAGTCCTTATGGAGGGGGATTCCCCTTTCCAAACAATAATCAGTCCTCCCTCTCTGTCTTCCATAAGCCAACAAGAGTCTTCAATAAAGGTATGTAATAGTGATTTAAATGTTCATTTATTTATTTTATTTAGTTCTCATTGTTTTGTGTATGTAAAACTATAATTAATCTTTAAAAAATGTTTTTTTTTTTTAATATTTTTGGGTGTCTGGAACAGATTAATTGTATTTACATTAATTTTTATGGGATATATTATTTTGGTTCTAGGTCGACCTTCTGGAACAGATTATGGCTGATAACTGAGGGTCCACTGTATTTGTTTTTTATTTTATATATGAAAAATTGTTTTTTAAATTCATTGACCATTTCCCACCCAAGCAGAATTATCAAAGAAATCATTCACCATTACTCAAATTCTTGCTGCCCTTACTTAAGGATTGCCAAAATGCAACCTCTTTGTCTTTCCTCCTCTTGCCACAATGGGACAAGAGCTAGATTCTGCCACTGGCTGTAGGGCACAATGACTTTTGTGCAAAAACTTATATTGTGTTACAGAGGGCATCCATGCTGATCTTTCCAAGCTTACAGTTGGTAGCTGGTTTCAAAATTTGCTACTGTAGTCTAATGGTACAGTGGTGAGAACAGTTGGCTTGCACACTGTTTGCCCTGTTTTGAACCCCTAATAAACCTCTGAAAAATTAAAACTGTTTTTTAAGGTTATTACAAATACATCCTGCCGAGTGAGTAGAAAACGGCAGCCTGTAATTGTTTTACATGATGGTAGGATTGCTGGTGTCTTTTTTTTTTTTTTTGTCTCACAAACATGCAAGATTTCAGGTACATCTTGCTACTTCTACTTACACTTAGGTCACACTACACATGCATGCACAAGCATATATATTTACACACCCCTCTGGATTTTCTTCTATTTTCATACCAGCTCTTGTTCTTGTTTATTTCCTCTAATCTCCATGGGGAAGTGGAACAGAATTCTTTCCATAAACCATGCACGTCGTAAGAGGTGACTAACATGCCAGGAGCAAGGGGCTAGTAACTCCTTCTCCTATATACATTACTAAAGTTAAAAACAGAAACTTTTGTTTTTCTTTTTGGGCCACCCTGCTTTGGTGGGATGCGGCCAGTTTGTGAAGAAGAAGTACGTACTGAACTGTATACTTACTGAGTATGTATAGTATAGCACAAAACAATTCATCCAAAAAAATGTATACACTACAATTAAAAGAAAATGTTTAACAAAAGATGCTGGGAAAATATAAAGAAAAGATATGGCATAAAATGTCTTAACTCACCTTGTACTGATCAAACCAAGAGTCAAATAGGAGGAGACGGACAGGGCTGTCCTTGTTACATTTCTTCTCAGGAGAAGGAACAAGTCTAATAATAGCTTCTATAACTTCAGTTACACCGGTTCCCAACTTAGCAGACACCTGTAGATATCAAATCTATATAATGCATCATCATTTTAGTGGTCTTCAACTTCTATGCAGCCTCCTGGTTACAAATGAGCCTAATGATTATCTCCTAATTACTATCAGGGCACATATTAATCTAATCACAAATTAAAAATTCATTTTCGTATAGATATACCACAAAAATAACGAGGCAATATGACTGAGCAAACTAAAACATTAGGACATCTATGGTCTAGACTCTAAAAGAATGGGTGTCATGGAGATTATGATATCAAGAATAAAAAGGCATAAAAACATAACTATAGGTAGTAGGTTGGTAGAAAGCAACAGCCCAGGGAGGTACTACCGTCCTGCCAAGTGAGTGTAAAACAAAAGCCTGTAATTGTTTACATGATGGTAGGATTGCTGGTGTCCATTTTTCTGTCTCATTAACATGCAAGGTTTCAGGTACGTCTTGCTACTTCTACTTACACTTAGGTCACACTACACATACATGTACAAGCACATATATACACACCCCTCTGGGTTTTCTTCTATTTTCTTACTAGTTCTTGTTCTTGTTTATTTCCTCTTATCTCCATGGGGAAGTGGAACAGAATTCTTCCTCCTTAAGCTATGCGTGTTGTAAGAGGCGACTAAAATGCCAGGAGCAAGGGGCTAGTAACCCCTTCTGTATAAATTACTAAATTTAAAAAGAAAAACTTTCGTTTTTCTTTTTGGGCCACCCTGCCTCGGTGGGATGCGGCCTGGTTTGTTGAAAAAAAAAAACATAACTGGAATGATACAAAAATAGCCCGCACAGAGGAGAAAGAAATTCATGACAAATTTTCAGCCCAACTAGGTCATGGTACAAACTGGACAGAAATGCTGGTATAAGTTTCTTTGTCATATGTGCTGGTTATTTGTGCCTTATGATACTATAAAATAGGTTATCTTTACTTTTAAGGAACTTTACTGTCCTCTATAACAGTGCATCCCACTTGAATCTTTTCCTACACCTGACACCCTTTGCTCCTTTTGGCTGATTACTCCCTTCAATAATTATTTAAGTAACTTCTCCAGCTCTTCAGGTAATTATTTTTATTCTGAGTTTTTCTTGTCAATATCCATCTATTTTTATTACTTTGTGAGGAACAAATGCTGTAACGAATTCCATGTTACTGGTAAAGTTGCAGTCTTTTCACTAAAAAAAAGGCTCTAACACATTTAGAAGCATTGGTGTGAAGATTAGATTTTTAGATTTTGCCACCAAAGTGGCTAAATTATTGTCCACCCCATATCCATCATGTAGACAGTAGTACAAGAGCATGGCATGCTGCTCTTACCTGTATTTTTTGTACCTCTATTTGTATGCTTAAATTACTAAATAAATAAATAAATAAATAAATAAATAATATGGATACACAAAAAGGCCTAGGAACTAGGCCTCAAAAGGGGTTAACAGGAGTAAACCTGGATTTATATCTACAGTTCATTTATCCATTACAAGCAAATTTAGGAAATTTGCTTAATGAATCTGGTATCCTATTTTCATTAATAAGATATCTTGACATGTCACATAGGTTATTATACTATCTCTACATTCCTCAATAAGTGGACAATTAAGCATAGTGTTTAAGATAGTTAATATGCATTTGGTTTGGTCATCATCTGTGTGCCTGCCAAAACTGCCAGTGCACCAAGCCTAAGCTTGGCCACTACATCAGTCAGTCCGCTCACATTGCAAGTTGCTCCATAAACATACTTATCTACGTTCATGTTCTCTACTTAGGCTTCTAACTGCACTGCTATAACATTGTTTCATTATTTACTTCTCTCCTAATATTATTCCTAATACCAGACTCAGATACACCAAAGTTATATCCTACATTATCATTCGGGGTAATTTTTCTTGGCTAACATATCAATTTTATCATGAAGCAGTAATTCAATGTGTGATGGAATCCATAACAATTGTACATTAATTCCTTTTTTCTTGATTTTTGTGTATCTATACCTGGCTTCTCCAATGAGCATGTTGTTAGAGTCATTATGTGAGTCAAGAGCTTCAGCGATGACACAGAATCAATAATACTTATCTATGTCAAGCTCAGTGTCATAAGTTAGCTTTAGTGCCATTAGGATGGCAAACAATTTAGTTTGTAGTGTAGATGCCCAGTTGTTAATTCTTATACCTAATTCAAAGTTGCTATCATTCTTAACTTCGGAGGTTGCAACAAGAGTTAGGCAAGAAATTTCTTCCCCAGCAGCTGCTTTTACAAGTGATTTAAGGAAGGGATTACTAGTGATGAGTTTCTTGGGAGGGGTGCAGGTACCTTTACATACCTTTGATAAATTTCGAGTCTTAATACTCCAGTAGCCTGGCCATGGGCCTTGCTTGTAAATATAACATCCCGGTGGCTTGCTCACATTATCACATCGGCCTCACTGGCAGATGCAGAACTGGTTATTAGGGAAACCACAAACCTGCCTCTGTGTGTGTTTGGTGGCACACAGGAGGAGGAGGAGGAGGGATGGATAATTCTGGCTTTTTGTATGGTTTCCAGACTACATCGTCCATGGAGGGGTGAAATGTTCTTGTTTATAGTGATAAAGGCCTCTGAGGCAGCAGATTATGCCTAATCTTTAATGTAGAAGATCTGAGCACTCCAGTATAATCAGCAACTACTGACAATTCTGCATTCACATCAGCACAAGAACCACAACCATCCACCGCAGTCCAGATATCAAGCAATAACAACTAAAATGCAAGGTAAGATATACTGTAGCTACTTTTATCTAAAACAATATTAAAAAAAAAACTGATGTTTACCAAATTCTTCACTTCACATAATGTTATTCTTCACAGTCCCAATTTTTAGGAATGTAATATTAAGTATTTACTTTTTTTTTTTTTTATTATTATTATCACACTGGCCGATTCCCACCAAGGCAGGGTGGCCCGAAAAAGAAAAACTTTCACCATCATTCACTCCATCACTGTCTTGCCAGAAGGGTGCTTTACACTACAGTTTTTAAACTGCAACATTAACACCCCTCCTTCAGAGTGCAGGCACTGTACTTTCCATCTCCAGGACTCAAGTCCGGCCTGCCGGTTTCCCTGAACCCCTTCATAAATGTTACTTTGCTCACACTCCAACAGCACGTCAAGTATTAAAAACCATTTGACTCCATTCACTCCTATCAAACACGCTCACGCATGCCTGCTGGAAGTCCAAGCCCCTCGCACACAAAACCTCCTTTACCCCCTCCCTCCAACCTTTCCTAGGCCGACCCCTACCCCGCCTTCCTTCCACTCTGTTTCGCTCCATTCTCTCCACATGTCCGAACCACCTCAACAACCCTTCCTCAGCCCTCTGGACAACAGTTTTGGTAATCCCGCACCTCCTCCTAACTTCCAAACTACGAATTCTCTGCATTATATTCACACCACACATTGCCCTCAGACATGGCATCTCCACTGTCTCCAGCCTTCTCCTCGCTGCAACATTCATCACCCATGCTTCACACCCATATTTATGAAATCTATTTTCATTATTTCCTAAATCAAAACAGTATTAGCACGTACAGTACTAGAAGATACATAAGTATAAGAGGGCCAAACATACTCTACATACAGTATAACATATTAGTTTAAACACTGCATATCTCTTAACTATCTTCTCTTTTTATAAAACTGGTCATCTCCCACAAAGTCAGGGTGACCCATAAAAGAAACACTTTCACCGTCATTCACACTACCACTGTCTTGCCAGAGGTGAGCAGATATGGTAGTTCAGATATCCCTCCAAACAGCAAATACCTAACTAAATCAGAAAAGCACAACTACACTTTCCATATACGTATTAATATTCTAATGTCCTAGCCCTAAGTGAGACAAAGCTGAAAGGGGTAGTGGAGTTTCACTGGGGAGAAATAAATGGGACTAAATCAGGAGTATCTGAGAGAGTAAGAGCTAAGGAAGGGTAGCAATAATGCTGAAGCATCAGTTATGGAGAGAGAAGAGGAAATATAAATGTATAAATTCAAGGATTATGTGGATTAAAATAAGGGTCAGATGTGAAAAGTGGGTCATAATAAGTGTAAATGCACCTGGAGAAGAAAGGAGTGAAGAGGAGAGAGAGAGAGATTTTGGGAGATGTTAAGCGAGTGTGTAGGAACTTTTGAGCCAAGTGGGAGAGTAATTGTGATAGGGGACCTAAATGCTAAAGCAAGAGAAGCATTTAAAGAGAGTGTAGTAGGTAAGTTTGGGGTGCCAGGTGTAAATGATAATGGGGAGCATTTGATTGAACTTTGTATAAAAAAAGGTTTGGTTATAGGTAACAGATATTTTAAGAAAAAGAGGATAAATAGGTATACAAGATATGATAAAGGGCGTCATGACAGTAGTTTGTAGGACTACGTATTGGCAGATAAAAGACTGTTGGGTAGCCTTTAGGATGTACATGTTCACAGAGGGGCCACAGATATATCCTATCACTTTTTAGTTGTAGCTACAGTGAGAGATGGGATATAAGGAAAATAGAAGCAGCAAGTAAGAGAGAGGTGAAAGTTTATAAATTAAAGGAGGAGGCAGTTAGGGTAAGATATAAACAACTGTTAGGGGACAGATGGGCTAGTGTAAGTATAGGCAATAGGGTAGAAGATGTATGGGATAAGTTTAAGAATATAGTGTTATAGTGTTCAGCAGAAGTTTGTAGTTACAGGAAAGTGGGTGCGGGAGGGAAGAAGAGCGATTAGTGGAATGATGTAAACATCGTAGTAAGGGAGAAAAAGTTAGCATATGAGACGTTTTTACAAAGTAGAACTGATGCAAGGAGGAATATATGGAGAGAAAGAGAGAAATTAAGAGAGTGGTGAAGCAATGTAAAAAGAGAGTAAATGAGAGAGTGAGTGAGATTTATCAACAAATTTTGTTGAGAATAAGAAAAAGTTTTGGAGTGAGAGTTAGAGGTATTGGGAAGATGGAGGGAATATTTTGAGGAATTGTTAAATGTTGATGAAGATAGGGAAGCTGTGATTTCGTGTATAGGGCAAGGAGGAATAACATCTTATAGGAGTAAGGAAGAGCCAGCTGTGAGTGTGGGGGAAGTGCGTGAGGCAGTGGGTGCAACTAGAGGGAATAAAGCAGCTGGGATTGATGGGATAAAGATAGAAATGTTAAAAGCAGGTTGGGATATAGTTTTGGAGCAGTTAGTGTTTTTATTTAATAAATGTATGGAAGAGGGTAAGGTACCTAGGGATTGTCAGAGAGCATGCATAGTTCCTTTGTATAAAGGCAAAGGGGACAAAAGAGAGTGTAAAAATTACAGGGAAATAAGTCTGTTGAGTATACCTACTAAATTGTATGGAAGAGTTATTATTTAAAGAATTAAGAGTAAGACAGAGAGCAGGATAACAGATGAACAAGGAAGCTTTAGGAAGGGTAGGGGATGTGTAGACCAAGTGTTTGCAGTGAAACATATAGGTGAACAGTATTTAGATAAGGGTAAAGAGGTTTTAGTGGCATTTATGGACTTGGAAAAGGCGTATGACAAGGTGGACAGAGGGGCAATGTGGCAGGTGTTGTAGGTGTATGGTATAGGAGGTAGGTTATTGAAAGCAGTGAAGAGTCTTTATGAGGATAGTGAGGCTCAGGTTAGAGAATGTAGGCGAGAGGGAGATTATTTCCCAGTAAAGGCAGGCCTTAGACAGGGATGTGTTATGTCACTATGGTTGCTCAACATATTTATAGATGGAGTTGTAAGAGAAGTGTATGCTTAGGTGTTGGCAAGAGTTGTAGGGTTAAAAGATAAAGAGTCTAACACAAAATAGGGGTTGTCATAGTTTATCTTTGCTGATGACACTGTGCTTTTGGGAGATTCTGAAGAGAAGCTGCAGAGGTTGGCTGATGAGTTTGGTAGGGCATGTAAAAGAAGGAAACTGAAAGAGAATAGTATAAGAAAGAGTAAGGTGATGAGGCTAACAAAAAAATTAGGTAACAGAGGATTGGATATCAGATTGGGGGGAGAGAATATGGAGGAAGTGAATGTATTCAGATATCTGGGAGTGGACATGTCAGCAGATGGGTGTATGAAAGATGAGGTAAATCATAGAATTGACGAGGGGAAAAAGGCCAGCAGTGAGGGGGAATGTATGAGAGTATAGTTATACCAACGCTCTTGTATGGGTGTGAGGTATGGGTTGTGAATGTTGCAACAAGGAGAAGGCTGGAGGCAATGGAGATGTCATGTCTGAGGGCAATGTATGGTGTGAATATAATGCAGAGAATCCATAGTTTGGAGATTAGGAGGAGGTATGGGATTACCAAAACTATTATCCAGAGGGCTGAGGAGGGGTTACTGTGATGGTTTGGACATGTAGAGAGAATGGAACAGAATAGAATGCCTTCGAAAGTGTATAAATCTGTAGTGGAGGGAAGGCAGGGTAGAGGTCGGCCTAGGAAAGGTTGGAGGGAGAGGGTAAAGGAGGTTTTGTGTGTGAGGGGCTTGGACTTCCAGCAAGCATGAGTGAGCATGTTAGATAGGAGCAAATGGAGACAAATGGTTTTTAGGACTTGACATGCTGTTGGAGTGTAAGCAAGGTAACATTTATGAAGGGATTCAGGGAAACCAGCAGGCTGGACTTGATTCCTGGAGATGGGAAGTACAATGCCGGCACTCTGAAGGAGGGGTGTTAATGTTGCTGTTTTATAACTGTAGTGTAGGCACGCCTCTGGCAAGACAGTGATGGAATGAGTGAAGATGAGAGTTTTTCTTTTTTGGGCCACCCTGCCTTAGTGGGAAATAGCTGATGTGTTATTAAAAAAAATAATAAAAAAAATATTCAAATACAGTGGACCCCTGCCTTACGAACGCATCGCGTTACGTTAAATCCGCCATATGAAGCATTTGAATGCAGAAATTTTGCCTCGCCTCACAATAAAAAACTCGCCTCACGTGATTCGTCTGGGACGCATCCCACGCGTTGCCTCAGTGCCAGTGTTTACAAGTCAGCCAGTGTGGTCGCATCTACGCATACATTCGGTACATTTCACATTATCCCAGTGCTTTTAGTGCTTGTAACTGCAAAATAAGTCACCATGGACCCCAAGAAAGCTTCTAGTGCCATCCCTGTGGTAAAAAGGGTGAGAATTAGTATGGAACTGAAAAAAAGAGATTAAGGAAATGTATGCAAAGTGGGTTGAACTGCAAACCTTTGCGGATGAAAATAACCCTGACACAGCTACTGCAAGCCATGCTGGTGACTATTACAATGACAATGTTATGGCCCATTTTAGGAAAGTCTTAAAGGAACAGGAGGTACAGACCTCTATGGACAGATTTGCTGTGGGACAGAGGTCCAGTGACTCTCAAGCTGGTCCTAGTGGCATTAAAAGAAGAAGGAAAGTAACCCCCGGAAAAGGACTTGATACCTCAAGTCCTAATGGAAGGGGATTACCCTTCTAAACAATAACAACTTCCACACTCTCCCCTCCTCCCATCCCATCAATCATCATCAGATCTTTAATAAAGGTAAGTGTCATGTATTGTATTCTTAGTAGAGTATTAATTATGCATGTCTTCTTAAGTTTGTGTAAATTAAAATTAATATTTCATGTGGTAAAATTTTTTTTTTTTTCATACTTTGTGGTGTCTTGCACGGATTAATTTGATTTCCATTATTTCTTATGGGGAAAATTAATTCGCCATACGATAATTTCAGCTTACGATGAGCTCTCATGAACGAATTAATTTCGTAAGGCGGGGTCCACTGTACAGTATAGTATGTACTATATAATACAGAACAGTGATAATTAAATGGATTTTTAATAAATGTATAATTTTTAAAATTAAGTGTCTTTCATAATACATTTCCTGAAGCTGATATATTAAAATGGAATGGCTTCAAAATCACAGTGGAGTTATACTCACCGAGAGAACTTCATCTGGGCTAAAGTCAAAAAGATTCTTCAACTGTTCCTTTACACCTGCAGGGTTGGCATTTTTTAGATCAATCTTATTTAATACTGGAATGATGACAATTTCATTCACAAAAGCTAAATAAAAATTTGCAACAGTTTGAGCCTGGACACCCTCATTAGCATCCACTAAGAGAATGGCTCCTTGACATGCAGCCAGTGATCTTGACACTTCATAAGTAAAATCAACGTGGCCAGGAGTATCAACAAGATTCAGAAGGTATTTCTGAAAAATATAAATAAAAAAGTAAACAATCTCTAATACAAAACATAAATGTAGCATTAATAAATCTACAAAATTAATATTTACAAGAAAGAAATTATAGTACACTTATACAAGGTTAGAGTAACACTCAAATATATAGGAAACTGTAACTAAATTAAAAACTTAGTTTCTAATGTTTTGTGTTGTGTTGGAGTTACTGTATCAAGGTTGGATATGCAGTACCTTACTGTGTTTACTGCACACCTACATTTCATTAGGGGTATTTTGCATCATCAGCAATACCTCCTGATCATGGAGGAAGCCTTTTACTAGGCAGATTTGGAACTAGTCCAACCAAGATTTTCAAGGTGTAAATTATTTTACAGCAAAACATTGATATTTGAAAGAATTACATTCCTCAAACCAGTCGGCTATCACTGGTGAGTCTTACCTTTTACTGTTTTTTGTCCCCTTCTTCCCTGTCAAAGTTAAGAAAAAAAAAACACAAGGTACAGTACAGTATTAGGAAACTTTAATGAAGTGGTATTTTCAAGTCAGTAGAGATACCTGAGGAAGCATAAAATATAGGCATGAGAAGGAAGAGTCAGGGGTGGTGATGGGGTGCAGTAGGAAAAAAACTTAATTTGATGATTGGCCATGATGATCTTTGCTCAAATACTGTTCTACCACTTCTATTATTTACCTACAACTACTACTACTGCCAAATTCAGGGGTTAGTTCCACCCTGATAGCAGTAACAAGAACTTTGCTGGGGTGGTACTGTGTATTGGAGACAACTTCAGTTGTTACATAAAAAAAATACAAAGACTGAAGGAACAGAGAGAATTGGTCTAAACAGAATTTCTAAAAAGACATGAAAAGTTTACTTTAGGTACAGAAGGAAAATTAATTTGTTGGAGCAAAGAATGGTTGACTAATAAGAAACAAAAAGTTTGCATAAATTGCATGATATCAGAATTGAGTCCCTAGTTGCTCATAACTTACATTAATGATCTTAACAAGGAAATAAAATCAACATGAGTAAATTCGCTGAATAATAGATTCAGAGGAGGATACCATTAAACTTTTGATTTTGAGTTGTATTCTGAATAGTAGCAGATGCAGTTCAATGTGGAAAAGTGCAAACTCCTAAGCCTTGAGAATGAAAATAACCCTCACACTAATAAATTAGGTAATATAGAGTTTGATCATATGTGTGAAAAAGAATTTGTGGCTTTATCACCACAGGTGATGATATGTCTCCTTCAATAAATGTCTCAGTAGTATATGTGTTGTATTACAACAATTTACTGAATGAAATCCCTCAGTATTTTTTTACCTGACCATGATAGTTATAAACAATAGATAGCAGTTTGAGCTTTCACAGTGATGCCTCGTTCCTGCTCCACCTGCAGCTTATCCAGGACCTGCTTGTTTTTGGTGTCCTTTTTAATTGCACCTGAAATGTATAAACACTGCTGGAGTCTACAAGAAAACAAATATGTCTGTTGTGGTAAAATACATAAAAAAATGGATAAAGGATACATATGCACAAAAATTAATGCAAGATTCAGATGCATAAAAAGATACATACAAGAGATCATATTAAGAATGGATTTCCGCACTGATAAGATGCTTGTGTAAACTGCATATAAATTTCTGAATGTAGGAAGCAATATAAATGCTCCACATTAAAATAAATATTGAATTACTTGAGTTCTCCCAATTAAACATTAACATGACTCTAATACTGCATATACATACCAAAAGTATTTTTATATGGTACCATGTAAGACTAAAATATTTTATTAGGAAACATGTTGTTCAAGGGGAGCTTTATCAGTTCAGTACAGGGCATGAAAGAGTAACAGTGTATGTATAGAAACAGGGAAATCTGGAGCGGGAAGCATCAGGTCATTGGTGTCAATGAGGTCACACAATCAGGTGACCTGATCGACACACCAGAGTGGATAGCTCCTGAACCTGACTTCTCTGATCCTATATACAAAACTACTGTCGATTTCTCAAGCCCTGAGTGGATTGATAAAACTTTGCCAGCAAAACATTTACTATAATAATAAAATGCTCTAATATTACATGAGTGTTATTTACACAGTAACATGGTATAAACCTTGGTAATAAATACCAACATGGTGGTTTAGAAAAAGACATAAGCAAACACTAGGACATATTTATTAGAAATAAATATGTCCTATGTAAATATGTAAGTGTTTGCTTACGTGTTTTTCTAAACCACACAGTATCATGAAGAGCTTCCATCACAAGAATAACTAACAAATACACACAATGAAAATTAACTGCTATTGAAAATAGACCATTACCTGACAAAGATTTCATCAACAAATCAATATAATGTGATAACCATATTTATTTAAAGTAATTTTATTCTTCACAATACTTTATTTACCATGTCATATTTAATACAATCTGAAGACTGATTTGATAGGTTTATTATATATACATTGCACTGTTCCAGATTAATTAGCTTCTTTGCAAATCTCTGCATGCTGACACACAACAGCTAGTTAATTTATCAAGATTAACAAAATACCAAAAATATGTTTGAACTGAGGTTACTTTAGTTTATCAATAATTATTTTAAAGCAAAAAATTTTGTTCACATATTTGGCCAAGTAATTTCATTAGAGGCAAGAAATCATTAATTTTTATGCCACTGTAATAATCATAAACTTACATTTACACAATAATTAAGTAACAAAATCTTTGCAACTTACCAGTTAATTCCAATATACGATCTGCAAGAGTACTTTTGCCATGATCAACATGGGCAATTATGGAGAAGTTTCTTATACGGTCTAGCGGAAAAGATGACAAGTTAAAAACATCTGAACCTTCCTCCTTGGCTTCCTTGGATATTTTAAGTTAATGTGTGACCCATGAATGCTTCTTCCATGGTTTAATATGCATCCTGTATAAGGTTGGTAAAGACATCTGAAAGAAAAATATAGAAGTTTAATTTTTAGAGATCATTTGAATATGTCAAATTATTTGTCTATTACAGATTTAACAATCTTGATCTAATACACTTACAGTGCTACCTATGATAATAATAATTAATTGCACTTATTAACCCAGTGTGTTAATAATTCAGGACAGCCCCAAAAAAAGCTGTCTGCCTTATTTCCACTGGTGTCCATTGGTGTTTATCCTCAAAATATAACCCACAACTGGGGGCACAACACTGCTGCCACTTGTGCTGGGATCAAACCCAAGCCCTTCAGATGTGAGCCGAGGCCATTATCACTTGAACCAAGAATCCCATAAACAACATTCTCAATATATAATTTAATGGCTAGATGACCAGGGTATTGGAGAATTAGAGAATTCAAGGAAATCAAAGGACAAACTTTGTGATAAATAAAAGTAGCAAATGCCACTCCATACCCTCTTCCTAATTAGATGTTTACCTGGAGAGAGTTTTGGGGGTCAACATCCCCATGGCCTGGTCTGTGACCAGGCCTCATGGTGGATCAGAGCCTGATCAACCAGGCTGTTACTGCTGGCTGCACGCAATCCAACGTATGAGCCACAGCCTGGCTGGCCAGGTATGTAAACTATAGAAGCAAGGATTATTTGTAATATTATTATGATTATTATTATTACAATGATGATGATAACATATGATGATGACTGTCAAGTAATGATTATGACTGATTATGATGATAAACATCATGGTAAAGTGCTAAACCCACAGGATCATATAAAGGGATTATTCCTAGAGGAATTGAAGGACACTGAATTTGATCCCCCATAAAATGAAGGGTAATTTTATTCAGATTAGTAACCCCAGAGGTTAATAACCCAGGATAACCCAGGAAAGTCAGAGTGGTTAAAATGCTTCCAGGTAGCTATGACTAAAAGACATAGACACGGCACAGTCGTGGCTCAGTGGTAACAGTTCACAACTGAAGGACCCGGGTTGATCCCAGGGGTGGACAGAGACAGTGCTTGTTTTCTTGTACTTGTTCCTGCTGTGCACCTAGCAGTAAGTAGGTACCTGGGTGTCAGTCAAATATAAAAACTTACTTCCTGTAGGTCACGTCCTGGGGGTGAGAACCCGAGTACCTTGATGGAAATAAGACACCTTTTATCTTTCTTGGTGGTTATCCTAGATAATTTACACATATGTAGCTAAGTATGATAACTATTTCTTTTAACTGGACTCAAATAAACTTACCAACCCTCCAAGTTAATAATCCATTTTTTTTGTGTGTAAAGTCAGAGCTGTAATATGCTGTACCTTAACTAGCAATGGCAGGTTGTTATATATACAATTCTCGAATTTAAATACCTCTGCAGTCTAATGATATATTTGACAGAATTCATAGTTGTTAGGGTTGTTAATGACGGACACTGCTGAGGTTGTATTGAGCCTCCACTCACGGCCTCCTTAAGCGAAATATTGCCCAAATTTTAGCAGAAATGTCAAGGAAAAGAGATAAGCCTGGTGTGAGAGCGGGCCGCAGGGGCGATGATCCCAGCAACCATAAAAAAAAAACACATTAGAAATAAATATTATTATTATTCAGAATTGTTGTTGTTATTGTTGGAGTTAAGGGTTGCGAGGCGCCGCATGAACTGGGGTTCACTTGAAAATTATTTTTTTTTAATAATAATATCTTTATTTACTACAAGTACATGTACAAGGTATACAGTCCTAGCTGACATCAATGACATACTACTATATAGAAAGCCGCTTGTTATGCTGAGCATTTTCTGCAAATTAGGTCAGTTTTGTCCCAGGATGCGACCCACACCAGTCGGCTAACTCCCAGGTACCTATTAATTACTGATGGTTTACCTGGATGGTGAACATAGACTAAGTAAGTAAGTAAGTTTATTCAGGTATACACAAATACAGTTACATAGAATTGTCATACATAGCAGCATATGTGTAGAGAACCTGGGATAACCCAAAAAAGTCAGACAGAGTGACTTATTTCCATTGGGGTCCTTTTACCTTATTATTATAATATAAAGGTTGTATTTTCTTATTATTCTATAATGAAGATAACATCTTATTATCATACTAAAAAGACTATCTACTACACGAGGGTCATTAAGACTATCTACAATACGAGGGACATTACTAGGAATAAGGTAAAATTTACACGTATGTTAGCTAAAAAATAGAAAATCATTCCTCTCCCTTTCTGTAGCTACATTCATCAGACACCTTTTGGCACTCTTCTTGAACTGGTTCATGCTATGACTGGCTTTGACATGTGCAGGTAGTCTGTTCCATTCCTTTATTGCTGTACAATAAAAGGTGTTTGAAGCCTGGCCAATGACTGTGGGTGCAACAAAGTTGTGCTCTCTCCCCCTAGTACTATAAGAACATAAGAACGAAGGAACACTGCAGCAGGCCTACTGGCCCGTGCGAGGCAGGTCCAAGTCTCCTACCGGCTTAAACCAATGCACCCAACCTAGTCAGGTCAGGTCACATTGACTTAAGGGAGGAACACGGCAACTGACCTGGTAGCACAAGCTAATCAGGTCCAACTCACACCCACTCATGTATTTATCCAACCTATTTTTAAAGCTACACAACGTTCTGGCCTCTATAACTGTACTCGGGAGTTTGTTCCACTCATCCACAACTCTATTACCAAACCAATACTTTCCTATATCCTTCCTGAATCTAAATTTTTCCAACTTAAAACCATTGCTGTGAGTCCTGTCTAGGCTAGATATTTTCAGCACACTATTTACATCCCCTTTATTTATTCCTGTCTTCCATTTATACACCTCAATCATATCCCCCCTAATTCTACGTCTTTCTAGAGAGTGCAGATTCAGGGCCCTTAGTCTATCCTCATAGGATTGCTTTGGTTCTCAACCTTGACAAAATTGACAGCAAGATATTCTGGACACTGTGAGCAATTTTATAAACATGATTTAGCTTCAGTTGTTTTACTCTGTCTGCAACATTCAGCATATCCAACTGCTGCAATTCATCCTGGCCTACATGTTCTCTTGGTCCCAGCCCCACAAACGGTATAAGGAAACACGTCCGATGTTTCTACCCCTTCGCTGGGAATCGAACCTGGACCTCACCGTGCGGCGCGAGAGCTTCTGCCACCAGGCCAAGGGGCACTTTTTATTCCCTTGCAAAGCTTACAATGTGTGGTTTACATATTATAAGATATTAATTTCAAAGAAAGCCACTAGCATGCCTAAGCATTTCGGGCAGCATGTAGGGAGTAGACCCGAAAGTCCTGAATTAAACAACAATTGATCAGCATGAGTCTTGACATGTAATAAAGCATTCCTAGACACAAAAGAAAGGCACTAATATTCATTGCATTTCAGGTCCAGGTCCTCTGAATACTGCTGATCTACTTCTTCATTGTGTTGAGCTAAAGTTCGTGGGATTCTTTAATCTTGATCTCCAGCCACTAGGTCTCTAGGGAGGGATGATCTACGCCTGCTAGATCTCTTGATCTATTGGCCTATTGGGGGTCTTGAGGTACAACTGCTATCCCAGTGGCGTGCATTGAAGTACATAGGTGCAGAAGTATTCAGTTATGAGAGACGAGGGGTACTTTTTTTTTTTTGTTCACTGGAAAGCGGTGAGATTGGAAATTTACACTTGCTCGGTGACAGGTTATAGCCTCATCAAAGAACAGTTTATTCGTGATGAATGGTTTGAAAAACCGACAAGTTGAAGATTGAAACACTTATGCTATGAGAATCTTTATTCAGGAAACGTTTCGCCACACAGTGGCTTCATCAGTCCAATACAAAGAGGAAGGCGTAAGGAGAGGAGGAGTATGAGGTAATCAGCCCCTCAGCCTGGAGTCGATGTGTTCAGTCCATCAATCTTGTAGAATGTACAGCATAGGGTCGTAGACGTGGCTTATATACTGTAGTATTGGACTGATGAAGCCACTGTGTGGCGAAACGTTCCCTGAATAAAGATTCTCATATGCTGCATAAGTATCTCAATCTTCAACTTGTCGGTTTTTCAAACCATTTATCACAACTGTCAGACACTGCAGCATCATGGGATCTTGTTACAAAGAATTCTTCAACACTTGTTCAACCTTTGGACGAAGACCTACTTCGACTAGTGGATGGTACCACTATGACCCCGCCTCCGCCTGCTTCACCTCACCTCACCTCACTACAGTATATAAGCCACGTCTACGGCCCTATGCTGTACATTCTACAAGATTGATGGACTGAACACATCGACTCCAGGCTGAGGGGCTGATTACCTCATACTCCTCTCCTTACGCCTTCCTCTTTGTATTGGACTGATGAAGCCACTGTGTGGCGAAACGTTTCCTGAATAAAGATTCTCATATGCTGCATAAGTGTCTCAATCTTCAACAGTTTATTCGTCTAGTCGGTGCAAAATGTGGATGTAATTTTAATATTCTTCATTAGAGGCGCAGCCACGAAAAGGAGGATAACTTGGATTAAGCTCCCCAGTACTTACTATTTTCAATTAATGGGTATTTTTCATTGTGTTATGTTGACCAGTGATAGCGAAAGCATCATAGCTTAAGAAATGGTATGGTTTAAGAAATTTCACATACTGTACACAATGACAATTATATGTTAAAAATTTTTGATTTTCTCAGTGTCTCATGAATTTTAAGCCCCGGCAGATTGCAACTCTTGCTTAGTAAGTTTATTGAGGTACAGGTACACGTAAGTACAATTATCATACAGTTATTCTTATTATTATTATTTTGGGGAGCGTTAAACACGTAGGGATTATACAACGCCTGTTGTGGATGGGGGAGTGGGGCGTAAGGCATTCAAGCTTAATTCAGGGAACTGGAGCACAGATCCAATCCCCTGGATCAAGAGCCTCTCACCAGCATCACGGAATCTCCCTTGAGTGGATCATACATAGTAACATGTGTATTATTATTATAATCAAAAAGAAGCGCTAAGCCACAAGGGTTATACAGCAGTAACATGTGTAAATTACCTAGGGTAACCCCCCCCCCAAAAAAAAAAAAAAGTCAAAGTGACTTATTTCCATTGGCCTAAGCTTCTGTTTGAAGCCCTGACTGAAACTCATCAGAATAAAATACTGGTTTACCATCCTCCCAGAGTGAAATCCTGGCTGCGCCACTGTTCTTCATTGATAAGACAAGAGGCGTCGCCAGTGCGCATCCCCAGCACGAGGTGGTTGCTAGGGCGTTGCTATGGACGCCGCCCTGGTCTCCCGCACACGTCTTGAAGACGCTCTCTAGACGTCCTCATTAATGACTCCCACACCTGTGTAAACTCACACAGCACTTTGTAAGTAACACGTGTGCATTGTTTACACGTGTATCTTGCTTTACAGGTGTCCCAGGTTACTAGACAGGTCGTGTAGGGGCTCAAATAAACCGGTTTTGAATCCAAGAAGTTCCTGGTTTTTCTTATAAGATTTGGCGCCAAGGGCAAGACAAGGGTAAGTAAATTTATTTAGATAATATATATACTTAACATACAACATGTTTTATAATAATCTTGAGGACCCACATGTTAAACTGTCACAAATATATTGCATTATATAGATTTAACTTTGGTTAATTGAAGTTATATATGATAATTTAGAGTATAATGGGGACGATGGGTTACATTAGTGGCAGGAATTAAAAATTCAAGCAGGACCTACGTACGTCCTGAAATATATTGTTTCTGACGGTATTTTTGAAGGCAGAACTTCTCTCTGATGATAAAAGGAGACAAACTTGATATTTTTAATAGATCAGAGAAACATACAAGCCTGTATATATATCTTATGATAATTTTTTAAAGATCGAAACTCAGTGCATTTATAGCAATACACCGAAGCAACAATACTGGGTACTTGTCCTGGCGCTAGAAATTAAACTATACTCCATATATATACTGGACAGGCACCTATAGTCAATACCTGATCAGCCAGGCTCTGGTTCATACGTCGGTTTACGTGCGGCCAACAGTAACAGCCTGGTTGATTAGACCTGATCTACCATGAGGCCTGGTCACAGACAGGGCCGCGGGGGCGCTGACCCCCGAAACCCTCTCCAGGTATACCTCCATATATATACTGGACAGGCACCTATAGTCAATACCTGATCAGCCAGGCTCTGGTTCATACGTCGGTTTACGTGCGGCCAACAGTAACAGCCTGGTTGATTAGACCCTGATCTACCATGAGGCCTGGTCACAGACAGGGCCGCGGGGGCGCTGACCCCCGAAACCCTCTCCAGGTATACCTCCATATATATACTGGACAGGCACCTATAGTCAATACCTGATCAGCCAGGCTCTGGTTCATACGTCGGTTTACGTGCGGCCAACAGTAACAGCCTGGTTGATTAGACCCTGATCTACCATGAGGCCTGGTCACAGACAGGGCCGCGGGGGCGCTGACCCCCGAAACCCTCTCCAGGTATACCTCTTGGTATATACATTCACTATATATATATTAGTATACTCAATGAGTATATCCCTTCCTCGGATTGTAATCTTATTACCTCCCATTATCTATGCCTTGCATGACCCTTACGGGCTTAGCGCTTCTCCGTGAATATAATAATCAATGCATGTACACTGAGAGATAAATCTACTTTATGTACATAAGGGAAATTTCGTGTATTTTTAGGTTATTTCTTTATAACATTGATTTTTCAATTGAGTGAAGATGCCAGGGGTCGTCGGCCACTCCAATGGCACAATGAAATTGCATTGGGGTGGAAAACGTGATAATATTATTATCAATATTATTGTTGGTTATTAGTGTCATTATCAGTCTAATTAATATGTTGTGTGTTACTGTGGGGTGGTTAGTTACTTTGTACGATATAAGTTTCTGTAACTAATCGATTTTCTCCTTGCTGGTCTCGTTTCTCTCTCTCTCTCTCTTTCTGTATCTCACACAGCCCTGAGTGTACTATGAAGGGTCAAGGGTTGAGGTTGGACCTGTACAACTTCGACCTTCCTCAGCACCAGGACTGTGCTTACATCCTCACCAGTCCTCGCTCCCTTGAGGCCTGCAGACGTCTCTCTATCAAGGTCAGCTCCTTAGTCTTCTTGGAGGGTTAGGTAAGACACATATGCAACAGTTAGGTATCTTTATTTCGAAACGTTTCGCCTACACAGTAGGCTTCTTCAGTCGAGTACAGAAAAGTTGATAGAAGCAGAAGATGCTTGAAAACGATGTAATCAGCCCATCGCCCTTGAAGTTTTGAGGTGGTCAGTCCCTCAGTCTGGAGAAGAGTGTTGTTCCATAGTCTGAAACAATATGGAGTTGAAGTTGTTGTTGTAGGTTTGCCGGTACTTCCGGCTCGGGTCTTCTCCAGATGGCGACCTGGCGGTGGCCTCCCGGGCGGGGGGTGTCGTTCATCTTCTTTCTTCTGTATTCTTTCTTGGGGCCCTCCGGTTGGAGGGTGACTTCTTCTGTCAGGTCCCTCTCAAATCCAGCCATTCTCACTAGTAGAAGTTGTCCAAGTTGATTTCAGGTCTGTACCAAGATACCCTTGTGTTGCAGTTTGACAGAGTGGACATTAAAATGGTATAAAATACCAGTGAGAATGGCTGGATTTGAGAGGGACCTGATCTCCCAACGACTACATTCTTACCTCTACTAGTGACGTACATCTCACCTCCTGGCGGTATATAAGGTTCCATCCTGTCACTTCAACTTCATATTGTTTCAGACTATGGAACAATACTCTTCTCCAGACTGAGGGACTGACCACCTCAAAACTTCAAGGGTGATGGACTGATTATATCGTCTTCAAGTATCTTCTGCTTCTATCAACTTTTCTGTACTCGACTGAAGAAGCCTACTGTGTAGGCGACACGTTTCGAAATAAAGATACCTAACTGTTGCATATGTGTTTTACCTAACAACTTGTCGGTATTTTATACCATTTTAATGTTCACTTCTCGGAGTGTAGTCTAACCCAGCACAACGTCTCAATCAAGGTCAGGTCTTAGTTTGCTTCTTGGAGTGTAGACTAGCTCAATGTGTTTATCAAGGTCAGGTCTTAGTTTTCCTCTTGAAGTGTTGACTAGCCCAGACAATGTATATCAAGGTCAGGTCTTAGTTTTCCTCTTGAAGTGTTGACTAGCCCAGATAATGTTTATCAAGGTCAGGTCTTAGTCTTCCTCTTGAAGTGTTGACTAGCCCAGACAATGTTTATCAAGGTCAGGTCTTAGTTTTCCTCTTGAAGTGTAGACTAGCCCGGCACAGTGTCTTTCAAGGTCAAGTCTTCACCTGTCTTATGCATGGTTGGTTTATTAGGTTTAAAGCCTATCGACTGTGCGAGGTTGGTCAAGGCTGCATGTAAACTGTACACCACTAGTCAGGTATACTTTAATCCCTCAGATAGGGATTAAACTTGGCGTATATTTACTCAAGTGTGTTGTCTAATCCATGATTCACAATGTCTTTAATTACAATTGAGCCTATTAAGAAATTACCCAGTTTAAAAATATATGCCATTTTTTAAATTTACATAATGCTTTGAAACATCGTCATTATTTATTTTCTGGTATCCTATCATAATTTTATATTGTGAATGAGGTTTTTATCTCATTTCTGCAAACGTATTTTTTTTAGCCTAATTGTAGCTCATCTCTTGAACTTAGTGAGCTGTTTTGTTTATATTTCACTTGCACGTATTTTTTTTAGATGTGAGCACTACGCTACAATTGGATATATACACCATGAGGTGTATATATATGATGGTTTAACTTTAATTTCCACTTTAGGTATTAAAGTATTCTTGACTGGTGGTGAGAAGACGACATGCAGCCATAATGACCCTCGTGGAATAGATAGCCTTTTAACCCCATTAACCAACCAACCTATATAGTTATTCCATTTTGTTGTCTAATGTACGTTGTGTTTTTTTTACCATATTATTATCTATATATCGGAAGAATACTTAATAGTATAACATGTGAATTTCTCACTTTTCTATTTATGCCATCTAATGATAATTTTCTGTTTATATATGTCCTTGGATCCTTTCCTCCGTCTGCAGATCAGAATCAAATTCAATTATGAATGTATCACTCCACTTGCTTATACTCACGTGTCCTTGTAGGGATTTACATTCATTTTGTGCGTGTGCGTGTGTGTACTGACCTATTTGTGGTTGTCGGGATCGATTATCAGAGCCTGACCCTGACCCTGACTCTACCTTGCCACTTCGGATTTACCCCCTCTTAACCTAGTATGCCCTATCGTATCTGCTCTTCAAACTATGTAGGGAACCTGGCTCCATCTCTTCCTCACCATGATCAGTCATTCCGCTTCCTGATAACTCTGAGACTGTGAAAATACTTCATAACATCCCTGTGGCTTATCTATAACTTTCAGCTGTCTCCCCGAATTTCCCTTTCTCGCCTCTAAAACAGCCTATTTCTATCTACATTATCAATTCCCATGAGTATCCTATATGTTGTTATCATATCCTCCCTGATTCTTCTGTCCTCCAATGTCGTTAGGTCCAATTCCGTTAGCCTCTTCTCGTAGCTCATACCACTTACGACAGGAACGAGCCTTGTTGCATACTTCTGCATTGTCTCTAGTTTCTTAACATGCTTTTTCAGGAGTGGGTTCCGCACTGGTGCAGCATACTACAAGATTGGCCTATAACGTATTTTGTATAAAGAGCTCAGAATGACTTTTTGGAGATTTCTTTAAGATTTGCCAGACGAACATTGGTTGCAGAGGTTATTCAGCTGATGTGAGCCTCTGGCTTTGTACTGGATAGTACGCTCACTCCTAAGCCTTTTTCTTTGAGTGAAGTCTGCAGTCTCTGTGACCCTAGTCTATACCCCATTTCCGATCTTCTTGCTCCTTCCTTAATGTTCATCATTTTGCATTTATTGGGGTTGAATTTAAGCAAACACTTATCAAACATCTGAGCACTTGCAATTTGTCAAGGTCCTTTTAGCGCCTTACCTTGTCCTCATCTGTTTTTATTCTCGTTAATTTTACGTTATCAGCAAACATGTATACATCTGAATCAATCTCATCTAGAGTATCATTCACATAACCCATAAACAGTACAGGTCTTAATACCGATCCTTATGGAACCCCGCTAGTTACTTTTCCCAGCTGTGACTTATTTTTCCCGAGAGTCACTCTTTGCTTCCTTGCTCTAAGATACTTTTTGATCCATCGGAGTACGTTCCCTGCTACTTCCGCCTGAATCTCAAGTTTTTGGCTCAGCCTCTTGTGGGGTACAGTATCAAACGCCTTCTTGCGATCTTAAAAATGCAATCCACCCAACTTTCTCTTTCTCTCCCGTTGCTCATCCGTTTGTCACAGAGCTCCAACAGGTTAGTAAGACAAGATTTGCCACCACTAAGCCCATGCTGGTTATTGTTTATGAAATCACTTCTCTTCAAGTGTTCTACAACTCACCCCTGATAAATTTCTCCATTACATTGCAAGGCATGCATGTCAGAGGAACTGGTCAATAACTTAAAATCTCCTGTCTGTCTCATTTCTTCATAACAGGGACTTTATTGGTTGTCTTCCATATCTCTGGTAACTGTCCCGTATCCATCAACTTATTGTAGATCATAGCTAGTGGTTTAGACAGAGCTTCTGCACCCACTCGCAGAATCCATGGTGGTACGTTATCAGGCCCCCTTGCCTTAGATGTATCCAGGTCCATCAAAAGTGTCTTTACCTTTTCCTTTGTTGGTATGGATGGCTGTGAAGTAGTTGTGGTTCAGACTTGGATTTTGCTGCTATGCTTTTCTCATTTTATTTCTCAGCCTCTCTCACCCTAGCATATTAGGTTATAGCCAATATGTTCATTTCTCTCTTTTCGTTTTTTCTGTTCTTGTGTTTTTTTCCATTCTTATACACTTCTTTTGTTGCCTCCCTGCGTCTTTGGTTGAACCAAAGTCTTTCTGTCTTTGTTGTTTCTACATCTTCCCGGCGGGTGGAAACATTTCGACGCGTTTCCTTACACCTGTTGTCCTGTTCACCTAGTAGCAAATAGGTACCTGGGTGTTAGTCGATTGGTGTGGGTCGCATCCTGGGGGACAAGATTGAGAACCCCAATGGAAATAAGTTCGACAGTCCTCGATGGCGCACTGACTTTCTTGGGTTATCCTGGGTGGCTAACCCTCCTGGGTTAAAAATCCGAACGAAATCTTATCTTATCTCAGCTTCTCTGCATTTTCCAGCTAGGTACCCCATCGTCTCATCCACTGACTTACATTCCAACTCACTGTCTCAGTCCACTACATTCAGGGAGTCTCTCAACTCTTCAAAACATTCCTCTCTAAAGTCTGGCTTTTCTTTGTAAATTGTGAGTTCATTACCTTTGTAAATTGTGAATTCATTACCTCTGTAACTTGCTCAGCTATCAAAACTTTGAGGCCCAGTCCCTGGACCCATTATGTACCTCTGTAATCTTTTGACTACCGCCCACTGGATGGGTATGGGGTGCATAATAAACATATTAAACTAACTAACACCTACTATAGTTTCCCTGTACCATTAGTTCCGCTAGGTACCCAAAGTTCAGGACCACATGAATACTACTAGCGCCCAGAGGGTTCTCATGTTCTATTTCACCTTTGTTAAATGTACCTGCGGTAAACACTAGGTCCAGTCTTGGCTCATATCTCTCCCGTGCCGTGTCCTTCCTTGATTTGCTGACTCAGGAAGTTTTCTCTATCTGCCTGCATCAACTTAGCTCTCCACGTTATCATTCTCCCATGTGAGTCCCAGTTTTCCCAAGCTGTTTACCTGTGGTTGAAATCCCTTTTATAAATAGTTTCTCTTTTGTCCTAAATATGTGTGTATGTGTGTGTGAGAGAGAGAGAGAGAGAGAGAGAGAGAGAGAGAGAGAGAGAGAGAGAGAGAGAGAGAGAGAGAGAGAGAGAGAGAGAGAGAGAGAGAGAGAGCTTGTGCAAATAATTAAAAAAACTCGACGAATTCCTCCACCAGCCAGTGGAGTTGCTATACATATCTCGTGATGACTACGAGGCTGCACATCCAGAGCAATCCCTGCAGGAGAGACTAGTCACATACCACTCCCTCGAGCGACGTAGACTAAGTAAGTAGCCGTATTGTTTGGGATCACAGTGTCAGTTTACTCTCGTTAGTTTGTCTGTGGGGCGGGGGAAATCACCTGGCACTCAGCGGATCATTAAGAGCATTTATAAATTGTGTTAGTGCTTGTAACAGTTGCGTCCCTGATGCAAGCTAACAGATTGTACCCACGGTAGAGGTCTAGGCTATTTCATCATTGACGTGAAGGTACCGAGATGTGTCCTAGTGGCTATTTATTTTGACTGCTAAAACATAACAATAAACTATTTAATGTATATTGTCGGTTTGCCGGTAATAACAACACATAACACACTCAATATAAGACTTAGTTAGTATTATTTCATTTAATTAAAGGGATGATGAATTAGTTTCATGTAACAGTATATAATCGTAATTATATGTTATGGTCAGTGACAATAATATTTTCAGATCAGACCACAAGGTACAGATGTGTCTTGTTCATCAATTAAAACATCAATCTGCTATGATGGCTAACCTTAGTGTACAGACTTCTTCAGATCTTGTTATGTGAACGTTACACAATCCATGCATGTCACACTTCCTTCTTAAATTATGCCTTCAGAGACATTAGTTTATTGTGCACCCGTAGCGCATCCCGTGAGCCACAACACACACAAAAGTATTAAAGTTCACGATGGCACAATACTGTGACTGGAATACACGGATAAGTGCATATAGAAGACTGAAACTTATAACGACGTTTCGATCCGACTTAAACCATTAACAAGTCTCACTCTGTAACTAGTTAATGGCCCAAGTCGGATCGAAACGTCGTTATAAGTTTCTCCTGTGTGCGGGTTATCTGTGTAACGATAGTGATATTTTCTCGTTGCAGAGCGTTTACGTGAAGCTCGGGAGCTGCGAGATCGTCTTCTGGTTGACGAGGAGAGACGTGTCCGGATCCTCAGTGAGTACTGCTGGTCAACTCTGCTATACTTGACCACCAGAATCATTCCGACTACACGTTCGAATGATTTTGTTTCAGTGCATTGGTAGTTGGCGTACCATTGATCCCATGTTTCAGCGCACTTGGTAACTGGCGTCCCAGTGATCCCGTGTTTCAGCGCACTTGGTAGCTGGCGTCCCAGTGATTCCGTGTTTCAGCGCACTTGGTAACTGGCGTCCCAGTGATCCCGTGTTTCAGCGCCGAGCCACTATCCGTGTTAGTATTGGCGTCTCAGTGATCCGTGTTTCAGCGCACTTGGTAGCTGGCGTCCCAATGATCGTGTTTCGGACTAGTCAGTTGCGCACTCTGTGCCCTTCCTCTGTGCAGTAGCGCAAGGAAAGCAAGATTACAGAGGATCTTTGCCAGACCCGCTGGACATGGTTTAAACTGTACAAATATTTCAACTATATCATATAAATTGCTACAATTTCTTCACATGGTTGATCTACATAATACAGTATGGAGATACAGTATCAACATAATTCAGATTCATCTAGCCGATGCAAAATGTGGATACAATCTTGAGATCTCAGACATCTTACAATTAACAGTGAAGTGACTTGCCATTTCCTCAAGGGCTCTAAATAGAAAAAAAAAAGGTCTCAAATGTCCAGAGCATTTCCGAGACGGTGATGGGTGTTAGGTGCCCATAGCTAGAGCCTGCTCTGAAGCTGTAAAATGTCACATAGATCATGGTAGCCACACAATGAACAGATTTTAAGGATTCATTATACAAAAAAAGAGAAGAGACACAGCTGTATAATTTCAATACTATTGCTGCTCATTCAATAAGCACTAGATTTACTCTTTCGTTTTTTTTGTAAACATTTGGTTCAACATATAAAAAATGCAAAAACAGTAATTGAATCCCAGATTGTCTTCAACATTCATTTAATGACTCACGAAATCGTAATTTAGTTTGTTAACATCATATTTACGTACGTTGGATTGCGTGCGGCCAGAAGAAACAGCCTGGTTAATCAGGCCCTGATCGACTGGGAGGCCTGATCAAGGACCAGACCGCGGGGGCGCTGACCCCCGGAACGACCTCCAGGTAGACTCCTGCTAAGTAGACTCCAACAGTTGTATGCGAGTATATGTCTCAAAGTGTATATTTACATAAAGTTTGATCTCTTCCTTAAAGATTAAATCATTCTTAACTAGTGCAGATGTTATTATGTAGCCTTAATAACCCTCTTGCAGTCGTCTGGTTTTAAACTCTATTATCAACCTTAGTGCTTATACGACAAAGTTTAATTAAATCATAATTTTGTGGATGAAAATTTTCTTTGAGTAGTTTTGTGCACAGGTGTCTTGACTCTCGTGCAGTCGACACGTTTTAAACTTTACAGGCCATTATTTATTTTATTTACATTTTTACAAACCATCATTTACTTTTATTTACGTGTTTGGGTGGTTTGATCCAGGTGAAGGTGGTGGTGAAGGGTCAAGCGGCACCTTACAGGGAATGACAGCAACCTCGTTGCCTGGCCACAGCAAGGGAGAGACAAGAAGAGGAGGTAGACAGGAATAAAGAGGAGGAAAAGGAGGAAGGGAAAGAAGAAAGCCAACAGAGAGAGAAAGAAGGTTGCAGCTCGTCCTCAGCGTCTGTCCTGGGGAGGCAAGACAGCCAGGCATCCTCCTCCCCCCTTCTTCCTCCTCCACCTCCATTTCCCGGAAAGCCTCCAAGCCCCCCTTTCCAAGCAATAAAGGGAAACCAGGAGAACTTAGCCGCACTCATCTCCGGGCCCGTTTTAAGTTTTTTGGGTGTGTGTGTTTTGTGTGTGTGTTTTTTAAACTCCCCCCTTTACTCATCTATTTGGGGTTGCGGGGGGTCAGTCCAAGCCCTGGCCCCGCCTCTTCATTTGGTCCTACGGGTCATTTCTCCCTGAACCTGCGCTTTATCTCCCTCTGTTTAAAAGCTAGGGTAGGGATCCTTTTCCTCCCTACATCGCTTCCCAAACTATTCCACTTCCTGACACTCGTGGCTGAAAAAATTTACTTCCAAACACCCCCTGTGATTCTCTGTGTCTTCACTTCCAAAGGGGTCCCCTTTTTTACTGTGCCCCAATCTCTGGAAAAACCCCTCCCTTTTTGCCCACCTTGCCCAATTTTCCTCCATATTTTGTATGTCGTTTTTCATGTCCCCCCCTATTTCTCCTGTCCTCCGGTGTCGTCGGGTTTAAATTTCCCTTAACCTCCCTCTAGAACATACCTTTAGCCCTGAACTGTCTTGTTGAAAAACTTTCACTTTCTCTAGTTTCTTACTGCTTGCTAGGTGGGGTTCCAAAGGTGCCGCATACTCCAATTGGGCCCTAAGTACACGGGGTACAGATCCTGAACGTTTCCTTATTAAGATTCGAATGTGTTCTGAGGTTTGCCAGGCGCCCATATGCTGCAGCCGTTATTTGGTTGATTGGCTTCAGAGATGTGCCTGGTGTTATACTCACCCAAGATCTTTTTCCTTGAGTGAGGTTTGTAGTCTCTGGCCCCTAGACTGTATCTGTCTGCGGTCTTCTTTACCCTTCCCCAATCTTCATGACTTTGCGCTTGGTGGGGTTGAAATCCAGGGTCCAATTGCTGGACCAGGGGCTGCAGCCTGTCCAGATCTCTTTGTAGTTTCTGCCTGGTCTTCGATCGAGTGAAATTTTTCTCATCAACTTCACGTCATCTGCAAACAGGGGCACTTCGGAGTCTATTCCTTCCGTCATGTCGTTCACAAATACCAGAAAACAGCACTGGTCCTAGGGCTGACCCCTGTGGGACCCCGCTGGGCACAGGTGCCCACTATGACGCCTCTCCCCGTACCTGACCCTGCTGTTTTTCCCTATCCTTGCAGTGCCCCCCTTTTTGTTACCCGCTTGGTCCCCCAGTTTTTTTCATAATTCTTGGTGGAACTGTGTAAACGCCTTCTTCAGTCCAAGAAAAATCAACCATCCCCCCCTCTCTCTTCTTGTCTTATGTGTAACCCCGTCATAGAACTCCAGTAGGTTTGTGACCAGGATTTCCGTCCCCGAAACCAGTTGGGTGCTGTTGATGAGATCATTCCTTTTTAGGTGTTCCCCCCACTCTTCTGAATATTCTCCATGATTTTGCATACTAACAGTCGTGACCGGTCTGTAGTTTTGTGCTTCATATCGTCTCCTTTTTTAAAAGTTTTGGGCACATTTGCTGTCTTTCCTCCCCAGGGAAACTCCTTTACGGGGTGATGTATTGAATATTGTTGTTAGGGGGGACCATGCGCCTTTGGTCCCTCTCCAGGACCCTGGGGGGATGTTATCTGGGGCCCCTTGCCCCGAGGATCTAGCTCCCAGAAATCTTCCTTCTTCCCGGTTGTGTGCACGTGCCCAGCATTTGTGGTGTGCCCCACTCTCCGTCCCCTGGAGGCCCCTTTTGTCTCCTCTGGAACACTTCTTTGAATCTTTGTTGGTTCCTCACATCTTACGGTTTTTTTTGTTGTTCTCCTCCTCCTTCCTTAGCCTGATTACCTGGCCCCGGCTGTTGTTTTCCTCCTATGTGGCTGTATAACATTTCGGGTCAATTTGGTTTCGTGCTTGTCTTTTCATATTGTCGTGGGCCGGGTGTGTGTGTGGGGATCGTAAAGGGGTTTTTTAATGGGATTGCAAGGGTTTAAAATGAACACTTGTAGGAGGTAACTATATTGTCAGACTGGTGGGATGGGGCCCAGCGCCCTTCCTGTCCGGGGGTGCTTTGTAAATTGTGAGTTCATTACCTTTGTAAATTGTATTTTATTGCCTCTGTACTTGCTCAGTATCAAAACTTTGGATTCCAGTCCCTGGGCCAATTTTGACCTCTGTAATTTTGACTACGCCCACAGGATGGGTATGGGGTGCTATAAACATATTAAACTAACTGCGAGACACAACAGTAGAAAGGTGACACACACACACACACACACACAACACACCACAACACACACACACACACACACACACACACACACACACACACACACACACACACACACACACCACAACACACATGTCAGCATAGTTGCTGATCCCTGTTATTTCCCTGTTTTATATAGCATAGCTATTTAGTAGACACAGTACTCACTCTCACACTATTTTCCCCCTTACGTGTTTGTGTGTTTTGGTGTTGCATTCCCCCTATTTGTACTCAAACCCATTTGTGGTTGCAGGGGTAGAGTCATAGCTCCTGGCCCCGCCTCTTCACTGATCGCACTAGGGCCTCTTTCTCCTGCTCCATGAGCTTATCAAACCCGTTTAAACTATGTATGGTTCCAGCCTCCACTACGTCGCTTTCCAGATTATTCCATTTCCTGACAACTCTTTGACTGAAGAAATACTTTTTAACATCCCTTTGATCATCTGAGTTTTTAACTCAATTGTGACCCTTGTTTCTGTGTCCCCCCTTGGGAAAATCCTGTCTTTGTCCACTTTGTCATTCCTCGCAGTATTATATTCGTTGTCATGTCTCCCCAACCCTCCTTTCTCCAGTGTCGTCCCGCCGATTTCCCTTAACCTTTCTTCTTTTTGTGTGTGGGGTGTTCTCGCTCATTGTGTTGGTTCGGTTATTGGAAATTTTTTTTTAATTTTTTTGGTTTTTGAATATTTTTATTTTTTTATATAGTCATTTTTTTGGTTAGTTTTTTTAAAATTTATTTATATTTGTTTAATTTTTGGGGAAAAAAAAAAAAATTGAGGCTGGAATTTTTTTTTAAAAAATTTTTAATACGCATCCCCAGCCGAGGTGGCTTTCTAGGCGTTGCTATGGGACGACGCCCTGGTCTCCCGCACAGTCTTGAAGACGACTCCTCTAGACGTCATCATTAATGCACTACCACATCTGTGTAAATCACAAAGCACTTTGTAAGTAACACGTGTGCCAATGTTTACAAGTGTATCTTGCTTTACAGGTGCCCAGGTTACTAGGACAGGTCGTGTAGGGGCTCAAATAAACCGGTTTTGAATCAAGAAGTTCCTGGTTTTTCTTATAAGATTTGGCGCCAAGGGCAACAAGACAAGGGTAAGTAAATTTATTTAGATAATATATATTAACATTAACATACATCTTGTTTTTATAATAATCTTGAGGACCCTCACATGTTAATACGTCACCATTTATATTGCTATTATATAGATTTAACTTTGGTTAATTGAGTTATCTATGATAATTTTAGAGTATAATGGGAAGACGAGGGGTTACATTAGTGGCAGGATTAAAAATTAATGCAGACCTACGTACGTCATGATAATATATTGTTTCTGACGGATTTTTGTAAGGCAGAACTTCTTCTCTGTTGATAAAAAGGGGACAACTTGATATTTTTACTTAAATAGATCAGAGATACATACACAGCCTGTATATATATATCTTATGATAATTTTTTAAAGTCGTTACTCAGTGCATTTAATAGCAATACACCGAAGAAACAATATGGGTTCTTGGTTCCTGGCGCTGAAATTAAAAACTATACTCCATTTATATATGGGAACAGGAACTTATAGATCAGTACTGACTCTGCCAGGCTTTATGGTTCATTCGTCGCGGTTTACGTGCGGGCCATCAGTAACTGCTCTGGTCTGTTAGACCCTGATCTACCATCGAGGCCCTGGTCACAGACTGGGCCCGACGGGGGACGCTGACCCCCCGAAACCCTCTCAGGTATACTCCATATCTATAATGGACAGGCACTATACGTTCAATACATGATCGCCAGGGCTCTGGTTCATACGGTCCGTTTACGTGCGGCCAACAGTAACAGACTGGTTGATTTAGACCCTGATTACCATGAGGCACTGGTCACAGGACAGGGACGCGGGGGCGCTGACCCCCCGAAACCCTCTCCAGGTTATACCTCTTGGTATATACATTCACTATTATAGATATTAGTATACTCAATGAGTATAATCCCTTCCTCGTTTGTAATCTTATTACCTCCCATTATATTGCTTGCATGACCCTTCGGGCCTTAGAGCTTCTCGTGTATATATTAATAATGCTTATTGTACACTGTAGATTAATTACTTTATGTACACAAGGGAATTTTCGTGTATTTTTAGGTTATTTCTTAATAATCATTGATTTTTAATTGAGTGAAGTTGCCTGGGTTCGTCGCACTTAATGGCACAATGAATTGCATTGGGGTGGAAAAAACGTGATAATATTATTTTCAATTTATTGTTGTTAGTAGATGTCATTATCAGTCTTTTAATTTGTAGTGGTGTTACTGTGGGGTGGTTAGTTACTTTGTACGATAACGTTTCTGTAACTAAATCGCATTTTCCTCCTTGCTGGTCTCGTTTTCTCTCTCTCTCTTCTCTTTCTGTATCTCACAACAGCCCTGTGCTCGTACTATGAAGGGTCAAGGGTTGAGGTTCGGACCCTGTACAAATTCGCCCTTTTCAGCACCAGGGACTGTGCTTACATCCTCACCTGTCCTCGCTACCTTGAGGCCTGCAGGGAAGTTCTCTATCAAGGTCAGTCCTAGTCATCTTGGAGGGTTAGGTAAGACACATATGCAACTTAGGTATCTTTATTTCGAAACGTTTCGCCTACACAGTGGCTTCTTCAGTCGAGTACAGGAAAAGTTTGATAGAAGCAGAAGATGCTTGAAAAACGATGTAATCAGCCCATCGCCCTTGAGTTTTGAGGT